ACTATGAAAAATGTTGGATGGAAGTGAAAAAGGATTTGGAAATATGGTCAAAATTGAAGTTATCAATGTTGGGCCGAATTGCTGTGATAAAGATGAATGTATTGCCTAGGATGTTGTTTTTGTTTCAAACACTGCAAATTTTGGACAAGATGGACTGTTTCAAGAAATGGCAGAGAGATATCTCGAGATTTGTCTGGCAGGGCAAGAAACCTCAAATAAAATTTAAGATTTTAACTGATGCTAAAGAAAGAGGTGGATTTGCCCTGCCAGACCTTAAACTTTATTATGAATCAGCCGCATTTTGTTGGCTGAAAGATTGGCTGCTTCTTGAAAACACAGACATTTTGGATTTAGAAGGTTTTAACAATGTTTTTGGATGGCATGCATACTTGTGGTACGACAAGGTTAAAGCACACAAAGCTTTTAAGAACCATATTGTTAGGAAAGCATTGTTTAATGTCTGGGTGAGATATAAGGATTTGCTGGAAAGTAAAACACCAAGGTGGCTGTCACCAATGGAGGCCAAGGCTCTGAAAAAAATTAATATGGAGACAAATTGGCCAAAATATTGGGAAATTTTAGAACAAGATGGAGATAGATTAAAGCTGCAGAGCTTTGACAATTTAAAAACTAAAGTACGAGACTGGCTTCACTACTATCAAATAAGGGAGGCTTATAATTTAGATAAGAAAATTGGTTTTCAGGTGGAAAAATCAAAATTGGAAACAGAATTGTTAGACCCTAAAATCAAGAATTTATCAAGAATGTATAACTTGCTGTTGAAATGGAATACACAAGATGAAACGGTTAAATCTGTTATGATTAAATGGGCACAAGATTTTGGATATAACATTATGATGGCTGACTGGGAAAAGTTATGGACCACAGGTATTAAGTTTACGGCTTGTAATGCCTTAAGAGAAAATATAATGAAAATGATTTACAGGTGGTACTTAACCCCAGTCAAGCTGGCAAAAATTTATCATTTGCCCGATAACAAATGTTGGAAATGTAAAGAGATTGAGGGCACATTCTTTCACCTTTGGTGGACATGCCTAAGGATTAAGGCCTTCTGGGAGATGATTTATAATGAAATTAAAAGGTATTTAAATATACCTTCCAGAAGAAACCAGAGGCCTTCCTTCTGGGCATGGTCGGCCAATTGGTGCGAAGGGAGGATAGAACCTTTTTTATGTACGCTACAACAGCAGCAAGAATACTCATCGGAAAGTATTGGAAGACACAAGAATTACCCACCCGAGAAGAATGGCAGACGAAAGTGATGGACTATATGGAATTGGCTGAGATGACTGGCAGAATCCGGGACCAAGGAGAAGAGTCGGTGGAAGAAGATTGGAAAAAATTTAAAGTATATCTTCAAAAATATTGTAATATTAAAGAATGTTAGAAAGATGTTGGAAAAAGAAAATTAGGTAGTTTTGGTAGATATGATATAAAGGATTAAGCAAAAATGAGTTGATGAAATTGATGAAAGAGAGGATGTTAAATTATAATACTTTAAATTAAACTACGTAAATGAAAATAAGGTTGGAAGGATTTGCTGAAAAAACGATCTGAACTAGAATACAAAATTGGGAGGTGTGAGGAGGTCAAGGAAATAAGTAAAGGAAAAAAGTTATGTAAAGGTTTAATCTGTTCTTGTTCTATTTCAATTGAATGTATTTTTATACCTTTTTTGTTTTTTGTTTTTTCTCTCTCTGTTATTGTTATATTCTTTTTTGTATTTTGTATTGTTCTTCTTTCTTTTTGTAACTTTAAACTTTGAATAAATATTATTATTATATAAAAAAAAAGCAATTCCCGTTCTTCTCAGAGCCTAATCAATCAGCTGGAAGGACAGATTACTTTTGGATATCCAGCGAATTAGCAATAAGGATTACAAAAGTAGAAATTCAACCAAAAACTTTATTGGAGCATAATTCATTTTTTTTAAATTAAGAGGAATAGATAAATCAACTTTTCAATGGAGATTGAATGGTAGATTGAATGGTAGATCAGGAAATAAATGAAAAGGCACAAAAAAACCTTAAAAGACTATTTCAAAATTAATCTGAATGAAGAGACAAAAATTAGTACTATATGGGATGCAAGCAAAGGTGAAATGAGAGGTTTTTCCATACAGCAAAATAGTTTTAAGAAAAAATAAGAGAAAAGAAGAAATCAGAATTATTAAATCATATTATGGAAAATGAAAAGATATTAATCAGTAAACCTAGTGCTACAAAAGGTAAACAAAATATTAAGATGTTACAAACACAATTCTCAATTATTATAAATCAGGAGATTGAATGGAAAATAAAGAGGATGAAACAGAAAAAAATTGAATTAGAGAATAAACCAGGAAAATTGTTAGCATGGCAATTAAAGAAAAGACAGTGCCAAAACACAATTAATAAGATTAAAATCAAAGACAAGTTAATTGAAAATCTGATAGAGATTAGAAAGAATTTTTAAAATTTCTATAGACAATTATATAAAGCTGGAAAAGAAAACGTAGTTGGAATCGAAGAATAATTTAAAAAAGAAAATGTGCGAAAAAATTCTGAAAGAGAAAAAAGACTGACTGAATGAACCAATGACACTAGAAGAGATACAAACAGCAATTAAAGACTTAAAAATTGGAAAGGCACCAGGACCTGATGGATTTACTGCAAAATGTTATTAAAAATTAAGTCAAATTATGCTGTTACCGTCGAAAGAGGTCATGGATAACATTTTAGAAAAGGGAGATATCCCAGGGACATGGAAAGAGGCATTTATTAACATTGATCCCAAAACAGGATGTAGATTTACTTCAGGACAAAAATTACAGGCAAATCTCGCTATTAAATAATGATTACAAAATGTTTGCAAGTATACTAGCAAACAGACTAAAAAGAGTGTTAAAGGATATCATACATGAGGACCAAGCTGGCTTTCTTCCTGGTCGACAGATGAAAGATAATGTAACAAATATACTGGATATAATAGAATATCTGACTAGCAGGAATGACAAGCAAGCAGCATTAATATTTATAGATGCTGAGAAGCTCTTTGACAATATTTATTGGGAATTTATTATAGAAAACCTGGAATTAATGGAAATGGGACAGTTTTTTACAAAAAGGGATCAAAGCAATCTATTCAGATCAAAAAGCTAGATTTATTGTAAACGGTGTGTTAACTGATAATTTTGAAATTACGAAGGGCACCAGACAAGGTTGTCTGTTATCACCATTATTGTTCATTACAGTCCTGGAAGTCCTTCTAAGAGATATGAGAAAAACTGATAATATTAAAGGAATTTGTGTCAGTCGAAAAATATATAAATTGAAAGCCTTTGCGGATGATTTAGTTATAACAGTAGAGGACCCATTAACCAGTGCAATGGAAGCACTAGAAAGAATAGAAGAATTTGGACAGGTGACAGATTTTAAATTAAATAAAAAGAAAATGAAAATTCTAGTTAAAAATATGGACCAACATTTAAAGGACGAACTGCAACAAAAAATAGGTATTGAAGTGGTAAAAAAGTTAAATATTTAGGAGTCTAGTTAACACCAAAAATATATGTATTTGTTTAAAGATAACTACACACCTATATGGAATGGTATCAAAAGAGACTTAGAAGTGTGGGGAAGAATGAAGCTATCCCTGTGGGGTAGGATTTCAGTGATCAAAATGAATGTGTTACCCAAAATGCTATTTTTATTTCGAACAAGCCCAATTATAAATGGTGTAGCTAATTTCAAAGGGTGGCAAAAAGTAATTACAAAATTTATCTGGCAAGGGAAAAAACCAAGAATAAAATTTAAATTACTTACAGCTGTTAAAGAAAGAGGAGGTTTCTCCCTGCCAGATTTGAAATTGTACTATGAAGCTTCTTGCCTATGCTGGTTAAGGGAGTGAATATTGTTAAAAAATACAGATCTATTAGATCTGGAAGGATTTGACAATAGGTTTGGGTGGCATGCATATTTATGGTATGAGAAGGTAAAAGTCCATAAAGATTTTCTGAACGACATAATTCGAAAATCAGTCTATGGGGTGTGGAATAGATATAAGAATTTATTAGAACATAAACACCATGGTAGCTGTCACCGTTAGAGGCAACAACAATTTTATCCTAAATTCATTCTCAATTGCATAATTCACCTCCTCTTCCTGCAGGTTTCGCCATCCTGCTAATTCCGCAATCAATCTGGTCTTAATGAACTCTCCTGCAACTTCCAGTACTGCTCTAAATCTCAAATTAAGTTCTTTTTGCCTCACTTCCATCATCGCTAAAGAATCTCAGGTCTTCTCTTGTAATTTGGCCAATTCTGCAACTTCTGCTTTAACCTTCTCACCATCTTTTCTCATCTCTTTCACTTCTTTTTGTGTTTTTCTAATGGCATCATCCAGAGCTTGCATTTTTATCTTAACATCTTGTACAGTTTTCCCTAATTCCAATGATTTAGTTGACAGTTCTCTAATTTGTCCCATCTAATCTGCCACTGATTGGTCAATTTTCTTTTTCATAGCTGTTAGTTTACTCTCTATATTTTTTCCACTATCTTTTATGTCCCTTTTTATCTCAGGAAACATTTCCAAAATTTTACTAGATTATGGGTCTTGCCTTGAAGCTCTCCTTTCCCCTGGCTTTGTTCCAACTCCTCCCTTTTTTGTTGCCATTTTGCTATTTTTTATAAACTTAGTCTTAGACACTTTTAAAATCCTAATTTCTGAATTGCAGTTTTTGAAACTGCCAATAGATGTCGCCCACTCTATAAAAGCAGAGAGGGACATGAAAAACAATAACCCACAAACTAAAGAGAACTGCAATTTCCCTCTTAGCCACTAGATGGTAGCAGTGGTCAAATTACTTCTTCCCCTTCCCTTGTTTTGTATGCAACCGCTTGCTTATTTGCCAACCAAGTAAGTTCTCAAAATAAAAGCCGTTACTATTTTTAACTTTTCACTCTCCACTCTCCACTTTTGGTTTCTTTGTTAGGCGGCCTTCAGGATGTAGGATGAAAATAAAGAAAAAAAGAAGAAGTTTTTTTTTTCAAAAAGTCAAAATGAAGTCTCTTTGGCTGCTTCTATATGTGCCTAATGCATGAGTCTGTGGGACTAAGCCTCCAATGTTTTGGCAGCTTGCTTGTGAATCAGTCCCACTCAATGCAAAGGTATTTGCTTCGGAATATATGTATAGGGCTGTGTTATTAGGCAGCAATTCTAGAAACACTTACTTGGGAGAAGGTATTCGTGAGTTCCACATACCCCTACATGATCTCCATGCATGTTTATTATTCATTCATTTAGCAAGATATATAAACTGCTCAAAGGGCTTTAAGTGGTGTCCATAAGGGAATTATTATTGACTGAAGGTGAAAAATAAGAGTGTGTGTCACACTTGTCTCGCTTCTTGTTCCCTCCTCTCTTTTAAGATACAACATCCTGCCATGAAGATCTTGTCTATTCTTTCTGTGGTTTTCATCCTGTCATTTCTGGTTGCTCCAGGTAAGTTGTATTTAAACTTGCAAAGGGATTCTTTTGTGGCAAGGCAGGTGACTCCACAATGAACTGAAGAGATTTGAGGTTCCTACTGTTCTTCCCACCTGGAAACTATTTTTAAACTGACCTCTAACACCTCTGAAAAATCAGGAAAATTCTGCATGGATCCATGACCTTTTGCACCTTGCCCTGGTGAATATTCCAAATATTATGTAGATTAAATTGCTTGTGAGATGACAGCATAGTTAAATTTAGCAGTTAACAAATAGAGTATTTTTCTCTCTGTCTGTCTGTTTTTTTAAGTAGTCAGAGTGAGAGTGAGAATGAGAGTGAGAGAAGGAGAGACCAGTAGTCCAGAACTCCAAGATCTGGGGTGAAATTTGTAAGTATCCCTAATTCTGACCAACTCTTTCTTTCTATACAGGATTCACACACATAGGAATTACCAGTCGCGAACAATGTGAATATTTTTAAGGCAAATGCCTTCTATTCCAATGTGAAGAAAACTGGCGAAAAGTTGGGAAATGTGCTGCAGATGTGTATTGTTGCAGTCAAGAGTAAGTGCAAAAAATCAAGATTCCCAGTTATTAATGCAGCTTTGTTTACTCCACTAGCAACTTGGGGGCCATAGACTCCCCATTTCTGGCTCACACTAAAAGATGTTTGATCTTGAGATATAAATAGATGCTGCATGTACCCAGTGACTGACTCTGCCAGGAATGGAGAGAATGGTGTTTGCCTTGTCTTAAGCAGCTATTCTGTAGACCAGAGGGAACTTCGCCTCCCAGCATTACTGACCTCACTCATTTTGGTCCCCATGTTCTTCTTCCCACAGCCCTAGTATTCCAGAAATGAAAGAAGAAAGCCTGATTTGCCAGCAAGATCCGCCAGTGAATGAATGCACTGTTGTTGCCCTTGCGGCTGCTAAGCCCATCACTTCCACCGAATATGACCCAAACACTTCAGCAGTTCAGCTTTCCTTATTTTCTTCTCCATGTGTTGTGTGAATTTTAGTAATAAAAATGGATGCAACAGCTTCCTGGATTTTATATTTTCAAACACAAGGGACTTGTCATTCTGTGTTTCCCAGCATTGCTCTCACACACCTGGAAGAAAGAGTTGGGACACAAGTACTTGGATAATTAACACTATAATTCAGTGCTCCCCCCCCCAAAAAAAAGTTTAGGGGTGTTGGCAGCCTCTCTATGGGCTGGCTGACAGCAGACCTCCTCTGACCCTCAGAAGATGCTTCCGGTAACGGGAACACCAAACGCAGCACTCCTGAGGAACAGGTCCTGGTGCTATGGTCTCACAGCTGCTCATGAGAGCGCACAAACTCAGCAGAGTAAAACAGAAGTGGAACTGTGGAGGTTTTGTGGCATACCTACTTTATTTCTACTAATTAGCCGAATTAAAGAACGTAACAAACATGTACGAGAGGAGCAGCTCTCATACAGATATCCTGTCTCTTCGCAAGACAGAACAAAGAGTAGTACAAAAGAAACAGTAATGGAAGTCTCCCAGACTGGCTTCCGTCTCTTCCTTTCCCACGAAACAGAAAGTAAACAATAGGATCACGTGGTCCTTGCAATGGGAAGAATGAAAATACTGACAAAGGGTACCCCATTTTCCTACTATTGAAATACTGCCCCTCAATGAGGCCAAACTTTGATTCACAAAATGTTTAGGGGTTTGTGTACCCCCAGGAGGAAAAAAAGGCCTGCTATAACTGTAATCCTCTTTTACAGCAATCCAAGTTGGTCGCCATGGCTGCCTCTTATGGCAGCTAATGTCATAGTTTAATTATGAGTTGTGCAGGGGTGACAACTTGAATAAAATATTCTGGGGGCCCCACATAATCAATCACATGATTCACAAGACCATTTGAATGGGAATGACCATCAACTTTGGGGGGCCCTGCCCCCTCAAATATTTTACTGCGGGGGCCAAAGCCCTCACAGCCCCTAGAAGTTGACTCCAATGGAGCTGTGTGAGGAAGTACTTTGTTGTGTATGTCCTGAATCTTCCATTGTTCAGCTTCATTGGACAGCCTTGACTTTTGGTATTATGAGGGAGAAAAACTCTTTTCCACAACTTGAACTATTTTATAAACCTCTGTCATCAAGACCTCTCTAATTCCTCTTTTCACTAAACAAAAAAGCCTCAGATGTTGCAACGTTTCCTCATGAGGGACTTGCTCCTATTGCATATATTAATATTGTGCAGCTTGAAGCAGTTGGATGCATAAAAACTGACTGCTTTTGGAATAAAACATTGTCCAGACCCATAAGTTTAATTCAAAGCTTTAGTTGCAGAAGTGCTTTCAGAACAGAACAAAAAACACTAATTGATACATCCAAACAGTTGTATAAGACCTAGTGCATGTCCAGGAATTAATGATAAGGAATTACTGTTCTTCTTCCAGAAATCAAAACTCTTTCTTTCTCCTATTCCAGCCTGCAATAGCCCACATACTGCCTAGGGCTATGTAAGTTCCCTGGAAAGCTTCATTATCACATCTTACTGGCTGGGAACAAAAGACCCATATGATGATTTGCAAATGAATACCTTAATCACCTGATCTAAGATTAAACCCCACATGTTAGCTAGCAGAGAACAATAACAGTTAATTTATCAACACATCTAGGTGCTCAGAAAGCTCTTCTTGATCCTCTTTAGCTTCAAGGGAATCTTCCAGTTAAACCCTTTCAGCAATACATGCCAGCATTCTCTATGGCGCTGTGGGTTAAACCACAGAGCCTAGGACTTGCTGATCAGAAGGTCGGCGGTTCGAATCCCTGCAACGGGGTGAGCTCCGGTTGCTCGGTCCCTGTTCCTGCCAACCTAGCAGTTCGAAAGCACGTCAAACTGCAAGTAGATAAATAGGTACCGCTCCAGTGGGAAGGTAAACGCCGTTTCTGTGCGCTGCTCTGGTTCGCCAGAAGTGGCTTAGTCATGCTGGCCACATGACCTGGAAGCTGTCTGCGGACAAACGTTGGCTCCCTCGGCCCATAGAGCGAGATGAGCGCCGCAACCCCAGAGTCGGTCACGACTGGACCTAATGGTCAGGGGTACCTTTACCTTTACCTTTACCTTTAATACTGAATTATATGTAACAGCTCCACCCCGTGATCATTCTGGTTGCCATTTTCCAAACATTTCCCACCTCTACAATACCCTTTTTGAGGTGAAGAACTGTACACTGTATTCCAATTGTGGTCTCACTATAGATTTGTATGCCAGCATTATGACATTGTTGGCTTTCTTTTCAGACCCTTTCCTAATGATCCCTGGCATGGAAATCTCTCTCTGCCCAGCTTCCATACATCTTCACTGAGCTACAAACTGGGTAACCGGTAACCAACTTCCCACTTCCTCCCACAATTTCCATTAAATGGGCAAGCCTACCTTTCAAGTATTAAATCCCAGCTTTGCACCTGCAACGCCCCCCCCCCCATATATATATTGGGAGAAGTAAAGTATCCCCATGTGGGAGAATCCCTGCACCTATTGTTGGCAGGTTTCGTCCTCTCAGAAACCATTTTTGGCAGAAAATTAGAGACTTTGCCTTCTCCTCCTTGGTTAATCTCCACAACTACCCTGTGAGGTCAGTTAGGATGAGAGACAGTGACAGGCCCAAGATCACCCAGTGAGTTTGATGGCCAAGAGAGGCCCTCAATCCTTGTCAGCCAGGTCCCAGTCCAATTCTCGAACCACTACATGAAACCGGCTCGCATTTATTTATTTATTTATTTATTTACATCTTTAGTAACAGGATGGTGGAAAATGCTGCAGCAATGGAGGAAACTAACAGTGACCACAAGGGAGAGGAGGACTCTGTAAGGGCTTAGTGATGAATCTCATTCTTATTCTTGTCTCAGAAGAAAGTGTCCAGAGCTTCAGGAAATCATAGTGGTCCTTTTATCTGTAACTGACAGATGGAAACAGACATTAGAGAGCTCAACAAAACCCAGGGAACTATGGTAGGAATGGTCTGGAGGTGGAGATGACTGTGTTCCTTTAACATTTCCTTCCTTGTCTGAGTCCAAGGTAATGACTACTGTGAAAGGAGTTCAGCTCTCTCTTTGTACCTGAAGCAATGACTGTGGTGAGAATACACCTGTCAGGAGGCTGTCTGCGGCTTCTGGCTGGTTGCCCAGGAAATTATAAAGACAAGGAAAAGTTTCTTACTGTCCTTTTTTATTTCAATCTTTACAGAGAGGCTATAGAACCCAGCCTCTTGCATAATGCCATTGTCCCAAGTGAATCTCCACCCCGTCTCTCCCACTTCCTCATTCATCATTCTCATCATCTCTCCTATGGGTGCAGCTACATGCCCTCTGCCTTTGAGCTTTTTGCTCTCCTACTTTTAAGGCTCGCTGGGTTCTGGGAGATGGAGGGTCTGGGATGCTTTCTAGTGACAACGTGTCAGCCAGGTGTTGCTCTGGCTCTCCCATGATTTCCCAACTTTCCCCCTCACCTTCCTCTGAGCTGCGACCTCCCTCAAACCCCTGTTGTAAATCCATACTGTCTTCCTCTTCCTCCTCCCTGGAAGGGTCAGGCTGGGGAGGCACTCTCCACCATTCCTCCTCTGCCCAGTCCCTGACAATACTATAGGGTAGAAGAAGAAGAAGAGTTTGGATTTGATATCCCTCTTTATCACTACCCTAAGGAGTCTCAAAGCAGCTAACATTCTCCTTTCCCTTCCTCTCCCACAACAAACACTGTGAGGTGAGTGAGGCTGAGAGACTTCAGAGAAGTGTGACTAGCCCAAGGTCACTCCACTGCATGTGGAGGAGCAGGGACGCGAACCCGGTTCACCAGATTACGAGTTCACTGCTCTTAACCACTACACCACACTGGCTCCCGTGTGAACATATATGACCACCACTGTTGGCCTATAAAGATTTGGATCGCCAATGTTTTTGTGTGGCTGCAGCATGTCCTCAAAGTGTCTTGGTTGTTGGGATGGGGAACAGAAATGGGGTGGTGTGATCGTGTGTAGGTAGTGAGAGAAAGTAAAAAATGCATTCACTGTTCCGCCCACTTTTGCCTTTGGCATCACCCAATATTGGTTTGTCTCCCTAGGATGGTTGCCCAGAAGGGAAGGTTGGTTTTGGACTGAGGAAGCTTCCCCAGCCCTGACCTAATGGTCAGGCCAGCTCCAGATGATCACCCCCCCCACACACACACAGATACATCATTTTGGAGAAACGAGGGAGCGAAAGATCACTTCCCTGCAAAAAAAGAAATGGCTAACATTTGCATGGTGCTCTCTGCCTCTGGAGATTGAAGGCAGCTAGAGGGAAATATCTTTATGCAAACTTCACATAGGTAGTGAAGGGTCTGGGGATTATTCTGATCACCCAGTATTTTTTTCCCCCAAGGGCGATGTTTTCACTCTATACATGGTAAATAGAAAAGGGATGGTAAAGGTAAAGGGACCCCTGACCATTAAGTCCAGTCATGGCCGACTCTGGGGTTGCGGCGCTCATCTCACTTTATTGGCAGAGGGAGCTTCCGGGTCATGTGGCCAGCATAACTAAGCTGCTTCTGGTGAACCAGAGCAGCGCATGGGAATGCCATTTTCCTTCCCGCCAGAGTGGTACCTATTTATCTACTTGCACTTTGACATGCTTTCGAACTGCTAGGTTGGCAGGAGCAGGGACCGAACAATGGGAGCTCACCCCATCGCGGGGATTTGAACCACCGACCTTCTGATTGGCAAGCCCTAGGCTCTGTGGTCTAACCCACAGTGCCACCCACGTCCCTGAAAAGGGATGAAGCAGGGGCAAATAATAGGGTGGGTGGGTGTGCATTTGATCCCAAGAATTCCCTACCCTTGTTTCAAGTGAAAAACATCATTGCTGAATCTAGTTTAAGTGTTTCAGAGCCATCTTCTTTCTGCTTCACCAGTTTGCAAGCAGCCTTAGCAAAGCATTCAAGTCAAGGGACAAACTTCCTTATTTCATTACATACTCTTTGCAGCAGTAAGTGTTCAGTAAACAGTGGCCGATCTTTTTGCCATAGGGCTGACAAGGCAAATGTCTGCATATCCCCCGAGCGACCATACACTCTGTGTCACCATGAAGATACCTGGTGAATCCTGCACAACCAGAAGAGGACAATAACTGATCAGTCTGAAAAAGAAAGAGGCACTTCAAACAGGAACTAGTTATAGAATCATAGAATTGTAGAGTTGGAAAGGATCCCAAGGGTCATCTAGTCCAACCCACTACAATGCAGGAATCTCAGCTGAAGCATCCCTGACAGATAGCCATCCAACCTCTGCTTAGAAACCTCCAAGGAAGGAGAGTCCACATCCTCCCGAGGGGGTCTGTTGAACTGTCGAACAGTTCTTCACGATGTTTAGTGGGAAGCTCCTTTCTTGTAACTTGAAGCTGCTGGTTCAAGTCCTACCCTCCAGAGCAAGAAAAAACCTTGTTTCCTCTTCCATCATTTCCCTAGTCCATCATTTCTCTAGCAAACTTGCAGAGGATTTCATTCTCTTCTCCCCTAGCCTGCCTGGGGAATAAAGGGTGGAAAAGTAAATGTTGTCCTCCACTGGGCCTCTCTGTTCCAAATTCTTTATGTTTCTGGCTACCTGTATTGGATTTAATTTATAGTCCAATATGACTCCCCTCAGCTCCAGAAAGCACAATCAATGGTGAGGGGTGATGAGAGCCACAGCTCAGCAACTTTTGGTTCCCCACACCTGCTGTAGAGCACAGTCTGATGGACGCCACTATTAAACAAAACAAATATTTTATTGACTCTACTCCCTATCACATGTCTTATTGTCTGCTCCTTTGCACGCCATGGAGAATGCTCAGAAATATCCAGCAGCCTGTAAATCATATCAACAGCACAGGATCTATGACATCTTTAAAGGTAAAGGTAAAGGGACCCCTGACCATTAGGTCCAGTCGTGACCGATTCTGGGGTTGCGGCGCTCATTTCGCTTTAATGGCCGAGGGAGCCGGCGTACAGCTCCCGGGTCATGTGGCTAACATGACTAAGTTGCTTCTGACGAACCAGAGCAGCGCACGGAAACACCATTTACCTTCCCGCTGGAGTGGTACCTATTTATCTACTTGCACTTGGACGTGCTTTCGAACTGCTAGGTTGGCAGGAGCAGGGACCGAGCAACGGGAGCTCAGCCCGTCGCGGGGATTCAAACCGCCGACCTTCTGATCGGCAAGTCCTAGGCTCTGTGGTTTAACCCACAGTGCCACCCGCGTCCCATGACATTTTTACTCTCCCACAAACATCATTTTAATTTGTTTCCATTAAGTTTCCACATGGCCTACCTGGAGCAACCCAGAAAGCAATGTATAAGTTGCAACACTGGAGCCATTTCCAGGGGCCCTTGGGGGCCCAAGCACCCACCAAATTTTCCCTGTGGGTTCCCAGCTGCCGGCCGCTGCTGCCATCCACTGCCTTCCCTCTGGCTCTGCAGCACCACAGTGGTGACTGGGCCTCTGCCATGGGCCCTATGTTGGAGCACACTCTGGCCACAGACATGCTTCCGGGGTACGCCTGTGTCCGCGCTGGGCGTTGGTGGAAGCCTTGAAGTTCAGCCTTGGACGGGTCCAAGGCCTCTGTGGTGCCAAAGAGTGGTGATGGTAGAGGGAGAGTAAACAGTGTGCACATGCCACAATGTGACACCATGACACTTTGAGGCAGCGATGCTTCTGAACAGCAGTTGCTGAAATCCACAGGAGGGGAGATTGTTCTTGTGCTCAAATCTTGCGTGTGAACTTCCCCCAGGCATCTGGTTGGCCACTGTGAGAACAGGATGCTGGACAGGATGGGCCATCGGCCTCATCCAGTAGAGCTCCTCTTAGGTGCAACAGGCTTTTGTGGTGCTCCAGAAGCCCCCCGCAAAACCTGTTTGATCACCCATAAGTATGTGATGCTCATGGAAATGAATGTCTACTGTATTGCCATTATCTCTGCAAAGCTTCTGTCCCAAGTGCCCATACAGAAGGAGCATTATGTTCCAAACTGTGTAACTCAAATAAGCCCCCACCCCAAGGCTGTATGATACCATGTTTACATCACTGGAACAAAATGCTTCCTTTTTAGATTCTGCATTGCTTCTCTAACGTTTGGACCTGGGTGGTGACCTGTGAAGGCCAAATTAGGTGGCCTTGGATGTAACCACATCAGACATGATTGTGCAGGTTCAACATGTCCATGAATTCATGGATGGAATTAAATGCGGGCAACTGAGCAACTTGGTGAATACTGATTGGCAGGTGGTTTTAACTCAATGGAATAGCAGAGACCTGAAGTTTGCAGTAAAGGATTTTGTTAATAGGTGGGTGGAGATGAACTGGGATGAGATGTCTATCATCAAGTGTACAGAGCTTTGGAACAATGGCAGGACAATTGAATTGTCAAATTGTGTTTGTGGACACTAACCCAGATTATCATATTCCTTCTCTCACCAGGAAATAACTGATTGGAGTGGATCTAATCGATGCCTCAGTTCTGCTAAAAGAATCGTCTCCTGACCTGCTGAACTTCTTGCCAGCAAAAGAATGAGAAGATAATTGGACTCTGTCTGCTTTAGTACTCTTTGTTCAATAAAAGCATTGCAGTCATCTAAACAATTGATCACGTTTCTCTTTGGGTTAAAAGGAGGTGGGAGGAAAATGCATTATTCTTCATGACACAATTTATAACCAAACTTTATAATGGCAGGTGCCCCCATTTCAAAGGCACCATACAGCTATGCATATCCACATTCATGCATGAGAATGAAGATTGGATTCATCGCAGGGGGACTTTGCATCTAATCCAGCTATTTAGGCCCCCATTCAGCAAGGGAGCAGGTAGCGCTGTGGTCTAAACCACTGAGTTTCTTGGACTTGCCGATCAGAAGGTCGGCAGTTTGAATCCGTGCAACGGGGTGAGCTCCCATTGCTCTGTCCCAGCTTCTGCAGTTTAAAAGCACACCAGTGCAAATAGATAAATAGGTGCCACTGCAGTGGGAAGGTAAATAGCATTTCTGTGCACTCTGGCACGCTTCACAGTGCCCTGTTGCACCAGAAGCAGTTTAGTCATGCTGGCCACATGACCCAGAAAGCTCCCTGTGGACAAACAAAGGCTCCCTTAGCCTGAAAGCAAGCTGAGCAACAAAACCCCATTGTCGCCTCTCACAACCGCACCGGGGGGGGGGGGCTTTACTAGGTGTGGCTGCGCCTTCTGTTGAGTGGATTATATTTTCTACATAGGTACAAGAAACATTTGGATACCTTAAACCATACAAAAGTGAATAAAGCGTCCCAAACTTCCAGGTTTCGCGCTCGCGCATGAGCAGATAGTCAAAATGACATCACCCGCGCACGTGCGGAAGTGGCGAAACGCGCATGCGCAGAAGCGGCAAAACTTGCATGCGCAGAAGCGGCGATATGCAACCCGAGCATGGGCAGATGTTCTGTTACATCTTATGTTATGTTCAGGATGTGAACAGGGCTCCGGAACGGATCCCGTTCATGTCCCGAGGTACCACTGTATTATACTTCCAATTAAATGAAATTCAAAGTCCTTTCAGCATTAGAATAATGTGCAACATATGTGGTAATTAACTTTTTTGGGTTCCTCCTGGTGAATAGATTTTGTCATCATGTCTTTCATGCCAGTTCATCCATGCAGAGGGCTTCCATGTCAGTATATCACGAATCCCTATAAATAGCTGGGCATTCAGAAGACACAGAACTCCCACCAGAGCATTCTGTTTCACTAATCTGCTCTTGCTGCTCAACTTCGGATTATATAAGTGATGTGGTCCATGTCTACTACTGCTCAAGGAGACACAGTATACAGTACCAAATCAAGGAAGTGCTGATCAGTGCATTAACATTCAGCATTCTGTGGGCTGTAAATTCAATTTCAGACCCTTTGCTTGGCAACTGAGTGGAATAATTAGGGAGGCTGCTGTCATATACAGGCCCACATGCCCTGGGTGCAGAAGTTCACTACTGAGGCAGAATACTTTGATTAATGTTCTGTGTCTTCTGGAAGGCTGAATGCTGATCTATTGACGGGGTTTTGTAACGTACTGACATCTAAGCCCTATGAATGGATGATTCAAATGTACTGCTCGTGATGACATAAACTTAATCAAGGAGACAAAAAAAAGAGTTAATCGCCATATATTCTGTATTTTATTCATTGGGAAGCCATAATGTTCAAGGAGCAGACAGTAAAGTCCATGGCATTCTCCATTATATTTATTCAGGGTTCTGGGGTTCAATAGCATCTATTGTTTTAAAAGTTTCTGCCTGTATGTTATTTCCTGCAGTCCATGCCTAGTACCCCTCAAGGAGACACAGTGTACCAAAGCAAGGAAATAATGATTTGACTAAATGCAATGTAGTTTCTTCTTGTTATGAAATCTCCCCCAGTTGCATTCAACCATATTGTGGATGCTCTCAGAGCACCAAAACATCTTTCCTACAGTCTCCTATGCAAACTGAGCACTTTTGCATTCAAGGCATTTGGTTCTGTGAAATCAGCCCTGAGTGCTCACTGGAAGGAGAGATCCTGAAGCCGAGACTCCAATACTTTGGCCACCTCATGAGAAGAGAAGACTCCCTGGAAAAGACCCTGATGTTGGGAAAGATGGAGGGCACAAGGAGAAGGGGACGACAGAGGACGAGATGGTTGGACGGTGTTCTCAAAGCTACAAACATGAGTCTGACTAAACTGCGGGAGGCAGTGGAAGACAGGAGTGCCTGGTGTGCTCTGGTCCATGGGGGGTCACGAAGAGTCGGACATGACTAAACAGCTAAACAACAACAACAGTCACAACAGTTTTCTCAGATAATAATAATAATAATAATAATAATAATAATTTTATCATATATATCTTGCTCTTCTGGCTCTAGTTCCCCAGCCACTCTGGGTGGCTGCCAGCAGAATAGCAATAGTGCTCTTAGTGTTTCACTCAGCTGTCATCCAAAGGGTTATAAAATAAAATTTACAATGCACCGACTCCAGAAAACTTCCTCAAGTTAATGCACACTGTTCAGTATTTCCTTGCTTTGGTACTCCATGTTTCCTTGAGGAGCAACAACCATGGAGCACAATACTGAAAGCAGGAAACAGCAACTGTTAAAACAATAGATGCCACTGAATCCTTGAACTCTTAAAATATTTCACGGTTAATGTCATGAATTTCACTTTATGTTCCTCTTTTGTATCCTTGATGAAAGTTCCTGTCATCACGTGCATCACATCCGGATTACCAATGCACAGAGCTTACGTGTCAGTATATCACAAAACCCTACAAATAGGTGGCTATTAAGCAGTCCAGGAGGCACAGAATGATCACCAGAGTATTCTGCCTCAGTAGTCTGCTCTTGCTGCTCAACTTGAGATCTGAGTAAAGCTTCAGCAATGCGTTTGCGCTGGCTTTTCGTGCTTGCCCTTCTGTTTTCTGAGATGCTTCTGTTTTCTGCAGGTAAGACATGCATTGAAATTAAAAGCATTTGGACATAAATGACAAAAGAAAAAAAATGGGGCTGGAAGCATGTACTACTCCTGGTCCCCTCCATTGTGGTGTAGTGGTTAAGAGCGGTAGTCTCATAATCTGGGGAACCAGGTTCGCGTCTCCACTCCTCCACATGCAGCTGCTGGGTGAACTTGGGCCAGTCACACTTCTTTGAAGTCTCTCAGCCCCACTCACTTCACAGAGTGTTTGTTGTGGGGGAGGAAGGGAAAGGAGAATGTTAGCCGCTTTGAGACTCCTTAAAGGGAGTGAAAGGCGGGATATCAAATCCAAACTGTTCTTCTTCTCTTCTTCTCCATGAGGCAGGCTGAGGTAGGTGCCTCAGGTGGCCTAATTCAAGGGGCCCCTCTGTGGGCACCTCCACAGTTGCCTCCTGTGGCAATGGAGAAGCGAGCACAAATGGCTGAGGAGGCTTCTGGTTTCCATAGAGATCTCATGGGAGCCCCTTGAGATCTCACTGGCTTATGGAAGCCACAACTGCACAACCCAGGTTACCTAGGCTTTGGTGGGGATGGACAGCACGGGAAGCCATCTTCCCTTTTCGCCTCAGGTGGTGAAACAGTATGGGCCGCCCCTGTACATAGACACAGACAGTGGTACCTCAGGTTAAATGCACTTCAGGTTACAGATGATTCAGGTTACAGACTCCTCTAGCCCAGAAATAGTACTGTGGGTTAAGAACTTTGCTTCAGGATGAGAACAGAAATCGTGCAGTGGCAGTGGGAGGCTCCATTAGCTAAAGTGGTGCTTCAGGTTAAGAACAGTTTCAGGTTAAGAATGGACCTCCAGAACGGACCTCCAGTACTTAACCCGAGGTACCACTGTATTATAAATTCCTTTAACATCAGTTTAAAAGTTATTCTGAATATCTTGGGCTGCCATTATGCAATGGTTATATTGAACCTGGGACGTTGAACCTTAAAGAGAGAAGTTTGTTCATTAGAAATCTACACCCCAATGCTCTGGCACTGAGCTATGGCTCTTCCTTATTATGTGTGGTAAACTGAGGGGCTCTATTGGAGCCTCTCCCTCCGGTAACAAAAGAGTTCGGCAACAGTCCTTCTCTCAACGACTCATATCTGCTCATATGCGCACGCAAACAGCAGAGTAAACGAAGGCTTGGCTGCGGAAGTATGTAGTATCACTAATTTTATTGCTGTACATCAAACCAAATTTAAGCAAACCATAGTAAAGAAAATAACAACATTGTGAGGAGAAGCTCACACAAACATCCTGTCTGTCCAGGAGACAGAACAAAGAGCCCCAAAACAAAAGCACATAGTATGGAAGTGTTGGGATGCAGCCAAGGAAATGGGGGCAATTTGCAAGCCCCCAGCTGGTGCCAGCCCATCGGCCGATGTGCCAGGTGATCTCCAGTCCTTGGTTCAGTGTCAGTGACCCCAGCTTTAGAAGCTGGAGCACGCTCTAATCAGCAGAGTAAATGCTACGCAACAGAAGTGGCAGGGAGAGGCTGTGATGAACATATTTACAAGCAGTTTATTCAGCATACAGTAAAGGGACCCATGACCATTAGGTCCAGTCGTGACCGACTCTGGGGTTGCGGCGCTCATCTCGCTTTATTGGCCGAGGGAGCCAGTGTACAGCTTCCGGGTCATGTGGCCAGCATGACTAAGCCGCTTCTGGCGAACCAGAGCAGCGCACGGAAACGCCCTTTACCTTCCTGCCAGAGCGGCACCTATTTATCTACTTGCACTTTGATGTGCTTTCAAACTGCTAGGTTGGCAGGAGCTGGGACCAAACAATGGGAGCTTACCCTGTTGCGGGGATTCGAACCACCGACCTTCTGATCGGCAAGTCCTAGGCTCTGTGGTTTAACCCACAGCGCCACCTGCGTCCCATGACATCTTTACTCTCCCACAAACATTATTTTAATTTGTTTCCATTAAGTTTCCACATGGCCTACCTGGAGCAACCATGAGTGCTATAAACAGCATCAAGGAGAAGGCACAAAAAATCTTCATGGCAACGTGCTGACTCTGGTATCACTATGAGAAAAGAGACAGCAATGGCATGAAGGGGTTAATACAACCTGGCTGATTGTAAGCATGCTGGGCTTTGAGCTAAGTTATAGACCAGGATAGCAAGCCTGTGGCTGGATTGCAACTCCTATCAGCCCTGACCATTGTAGTGGATGTAGATAATAAGTCTTTTCCAGGAATACCTGCAGTTGCTCCACAACCTTACCTTAAATCAATAAATCCATACATAAATGTATCTTAATCCCTGGCAGATGTTCATATATAGTTAACTTCCATCAGAATTCTAGAATTACACCATTAAAGGACTCTTATCCCTACAACATTGATGGAGTTGTTAAGAACATCTATCAGTTCCAAACTAACAAGGACATGGAGAAAAAGATGGTTAAAGATAAAATATGATTCTACAGGTACTTACCAAGATGTTTGAACACTATGTCACCTTCCAGCCCAGATTGCTTGCTTATATTCTTTGTCTTCACTTATATTCACATGTCCAATTAGACACACCCTACCCTTTCAGGACAGATTGATCAACTTAGGTTAATAAATTGGGGATTTAAATTTGTGAAGGGATGGAGAGGTAATGTTTACCCATGTTCCTGGACCAGCTTGTACCCATGTCCTTCCTGCTCTTCTGCTCAATGTTCAGTTTATTCAAATAAAGGAACACCCCTGATTTTGTCCTGTGTACACAAGGTACCAAGAGTGAGAGGGAAAATGAAGCAATTGCTACCACTTGCGTGCCAAGCCCCCATGGCCTGTTGATTAAAAAGCACACAGACACGAGTATTTAGGATTATGGGCTAAAACAGGCCACAACTTTATTGGTTACAGATGTGAGTAGTTTGGCTTAGGCATTGGGTGAAACCAGGCTATATATTGACTCCCGCCCGTCTGCAGGGAGTCAAACTAAGGGTAAAATACCAGAAGGGGAAACCCTATGACTTACATCAAATAGGGGCACCCCAAGGGGTTCCCACTGGGGTCATGGCATGGCCCTAGCTTAGAAACAGTACAATCCAATGGCACAGGGAAATAAAATGGAAGAAGCAACAGGCATCAGAGAGCAGAGTAACTGATTATATAGGACAAAGAAAACCCAGACCAGGCAGCCACAAGCGGCAAGTAAGGATCAGTGGATCCCCCAAGCCAGATCACCGTGAGGGCCCAGATGCCCAACCACAACACTGCCCACTGTGAAAGGTGAATGGTCTTGTCCCCGCTACAGATGTCAGGGACCATAAAGCTTCTACAGAAGGAAGATTTATACGTGTCCTTAATACTTGTTTTCTGCCTTATTGTGAATCCCCCTTACTAGAAAATACTAGTCCAACATGCTGTTTTCACAGTGGACAACCAGATGCCCATGGGAAGCCCACAACTCAGACTTTAGCACAGCAGCACTATCCCCCCTTGTGGTTTCCAGGCATATACTGACTCTGATAATGGAGGCAGAGTATAGCCATCGTGATTAGTAGCTACTGACATCCATATACCTTCATGAGATTGTCTAATTCAATATGAGCTGAAGAAATTAACAGATTGAAGAACGGGGCTCCAGCTAACAAAATGATTTACAATAGGGAGGTTCTCCACTTAGGCAGGAAGAACCATTGTACATTGAAACCATAGTGTCATTCTTGTGGCTCTTACGATCAGACAGTTGCAACCCCTCTCTTATACAGTGGTACCTCGGGTTACATATGCTTCAGGTTACAGACTCCACTAACCCAGATATAGTACCTAGGGTTAAGAACTTTGCTCCAGGATGAGAACAGAAATCGTGCTCCAGCGGCATGGCAGCAGCAGGAGGCCTCATTAGCTAAAGTGGTACCTCAGGTTAAGAACACTTTCACATTAAGAACAGACCTCCGGAACGAATTAAGTTCTTAACCCGAGGTACCACTGTATATTTAAACAATTTTTATAGCACTTAACTACAATCTTCTTAGCTGTTTAGCCTGTCCCACTCAACAGCCTTTTTGCACCAGCAGTGCTTTGCACCAAATGGAGATCTGTGATAGATAGCATGCTTGGCATGGATTTTCGGTTGTCAGTTTAATGTACTATACAGACTTTCCTCTCTTTTGCCCACAGCAACACACCAACAGTTCTGGTTGTCATGCTAACTGCACCAGGATTGTTCGCAGGGCTTACGTGTCCTTGTATCACCAACCAGGGAAAGAGCAGTGCAGTCTTTCATAACACAGATTACCTTCACAGTGCTCTGCCTCAGTTTTGTCCAGCTGCTGTCCAGCTTGATCTCCTGGTCAGGCTTCAGCCATGAAGAAGGCCTGACTTTAACTGTTGTTATTTCACGGGTGCTTTTGTGTTCTGCGGATAAGGCATGCATCGAAAATTGAAAAATTCATTTTAAAATGATATAACTATAGCATGCTAAGAAGAAGTTGGAGGCCATTTAGAAGAGAGATGTCAATGTGTCATCTATGCATCCTCTAAAGTGATGTCACCTAGCTTTTTGCAGTCTTGCAAAATATAACAACAACAACAACAAGTGATAAAACATCAAACATTAAAAGCTTCCCTAAACAGGGCTGCTTTCAGGTATTTTCTAAAAGTCAGATAGTTGTTTATTTCCTTGACATCTGATAGAGGGGCGTTCCATAGGGTGGGTGCCTCTACCGAGAAGGCTCTCTGCCTGGTTCCCCATAGCTTCACTTCTCGCAGTGAAGGAACCGCCAGAAGGCTGGGGAAACCCAGCCAGATCACTCCTGGCCGAGTAAGTTTGTCTTCCATAAACACAGTTTTAACAATGAGTCCATAAATGACTGTGGAGGCCAATTCTGGATCCACACGTCCTTCCACAGTAGGGACATTGGTTTCTGAGTGGGAGTTGCTCATGGTGTGGATCTGCCAAGCGTGCCTTCCTCTTAGCGTGTTTTTCCCTTGTGCCCTGAGTTCGAGTGTCTTCAAAGCCCATGACACCTTTGGCAAAGGCTGTTCTCCAATTGGAGCACTCGCAGACCAGTGTTTCCCAATTGTTGGTGTTTATTCTACATTTTTTAAGATTTGCCTTGAGAGAGTCTTTGATCCTCTTTTGTTGACCACCAGCATTACACTTTCCATTTTTAAGTTTGGAATAGAGTAGTTGGCTTGGAAGACGATAACCAGGCATTCAAACAACATGACCAGTCCAATGAAGTTGACGTTGAAGAATAATTGCTTCAACACTGGTGATCTTTGCTACTTCTAGTACCCTGGTATTAGTTCGCCTGTCTTCCCAAGTGATGTGTAAAAAATTTCGGAGACACCGTTGATGGAATCTTTCGAGGAGTCAGAGATGGCTTTTATAAGTGGTCCATGTTTCACATGCATACCGTAAGGTTAGTAGTACGATAGCTCTGTAAACAAGCATTTTGGTTTCCCTGCAAATATTGACCCATTGATCCCAGCCTTTCATAGGATGAATCGATCATTAATTTACAGAGCTATATTAAGGCTCTCCAGAAGTCAGAGGCAGAACCAAGTGTTCCAGGAAATATTGCAAATTGGTACAATCATATCTGTGTTCAAAGGAGCATAACCAAATGAATAAATTAAAGCAAACATAAGAAGTTATTCCAGATTCGAAGGTGAGCTTTCACTGCTTCTTTGTAAGGAGGTAAGTTAAATCAAGTCTCTTCAGGCTTTGTCAGCAGCTTGGACTTTTGATGGTATATTCGGAACTTGTATTGTAAAGAATTACAGATCAGAATACAAATGATCTGTATGAGGACCTGTAGGTAAATGCATTGTAACAGGCACAATTGTGTGGGTGGTATTCAATGCTAGTCCTACTCAGGAATAGACCCATTGTAGTCAATGGGCATGACTAACTTAGGTTTGTTAACATAAACGAGTCTACTTTGAGTAGGATTTAGCTGAATACAACCCTCAATATTTTATGACAAAAATATGTGTAGATTTATCTCGATGCACACATTTCTAAACAGATGTTATCATAAAATATGCATTTTGCTTCATTTATTGAGCAAAATACAAATCGTGTATGTATGTATGAATGTAACCAACATAGTTTGTACATCACTTAATCATAAAACCCCCTCTAAGTAGTTAAAATTATTGAAACTAGAGTTAAAACAAGCTAAGCTTTCTCTCGATGTAAAATAAGCAGTTAAATACAGTGCTGCCTCGCAAGACGAAATTAATTCGTTCCGCGAGTTTTGTCGTCTTGCAATTCTTTTCGTCTTGCGAAGCACGGTGTCGGGAAAGTTTTGGAAAAGCTTCACAAATCACCAAAGTCATTAAAAACCTCAAAAAAGGCTACCACACCGCGTTCTATGAGTTGCTCCTCGAAGTCAAGTCGCAACTGTATTAACGGTGTTAAGATAAAGGAAACAAACTTGCAAGACGTTTCCGTCTTGCGAAGCAAGCCCATAGGGAAAATCGTCTTGCGAAGCAGCTCAAAAAACAAAAAACCCTTTTGTCTAGCGAGTTTTTTGTCTTGCGAGGCATTCGTCTTGCGAGGTACCACTGTAAATGTACATATTGAAATAAATGTCAATGTGATACATATTAGGCTGGAGTATATTAATTTGGACAGTTCATTTAAAAATATGGATCAAAACAAATTAATGTCCCTTTCCAAGAAACAATGAGCAACTGCTATTGCTGTTTTTCCTTTTGTTCCCCCTGTGAACAATGCCATGGCCTTTGGCTAGTGCAATAAATATAATATAAAATATATATATAATAGAGTTTAGAAAATTGTTTGAGATTGCAATCCTCTTCCGATTTATTTGGGTGTAGGGCTCACTGCACACATTGGAAATTTTATCCAGTGTAGATAATGAGAGAATTGCTCTAAGTCAACACTGGTCTGCTTACATTGGCAAACTTCTAAAAAGAAATTTCCATTGTTTTGATGGAAAGGTTGTGCCTCTTCAGATGTAACTTTAATATACTAAACACACACCCACCCAAACATCATATGCATGCATACAAACATGCAATTTCCATGGAGTTCAACGGAACTTGCTCTTAAGTGTTTGGCATGACAGGTGTGAATTGTTTGGATCTGTACTAGTTTGTGATTTACATGTCTTGGAGCCATATTCAATTAACTCAACACGCTAGCAGAAGCCAAATTCCTGCTAGAGCTATGGGTCTTCCCCACCACTCCTCACCCCTTCTTGGGAGGGTTGGGAGAACCTCCAGAACAGCACATGGAGCTAGGAGAAGGGAGATTATTCAGTTGGGGAAGCAGAAAAGCGATGTGTTGAATACAACTCTTGGTACCCTTTCTCTCTTTCAGTGACTTCGAGATATCGGGCAACTTTTGCCATGGAAAAAGCTCATGGATTTCTTTTTGTTCTTCTCTGCTTGGGAACCCTGAGAGAGTCAAGTAAGATCTGTTTAAAGATGACGGCAGAATGATGTGGGAGAAAACTCCCTTGGGAAGTTTAGTATGGAGGCTCAAACAAATTCCCAGTTAGTCAGACTGCTAATTCAGTCATGCATTCAAAGACAGATTCCAAGAGAGTCTGTGAGATGAGAGGATATCCATTATGACACACACTATGGGGGGGGGATGTCATCGGGACCATTTCATCATATAGCCAAGCATTTCTGCTACTTTCTGTCACCCTAGCAGCTCACTGTCTCTTCCTCCAAGCAAAGACCTTAGAAACAGTTATTCAACACATGCTTTCTTTTGCTGTGCGCAGAGGCCTCCTTGCATCTTATATGGAGCTATTCTTCTTTCCAGCACACAGTGTTGGGCTCCTCCTAAAACTTGTTCTTACTAGTTTTGTTGTCTTGTGGTGGCCTTAGGATTTTGAGACTATCTAACTGCGCCTTAGCTGTTTGTTTTTCCTTCATGCCCCACCTGTTGCCTTAATAAGACAGTGGTACCTCGGGTTACAGATGCTTCAGGTTACAGACGCTTCAGGTTACAGACTCCACTAATGCAGAAATATGACCTTGAGTTAAGAACTTTACTTCAGGATGAGAACAGAAATCGTGCGCTGGTGGTGCGGCGGCAGCAGGACACCCCATTAGCTAAAGTGGTACCTCAGGTTAAGAACAGTTTCAGGTTAAGAACGGACCTCCGGAATGAATTAAATTCGTAACCAGAGTACCACTGTAATAATAATAAATGTTTATTTGTATTCCACCCTCCCCGGTCGAGTGGCTAACATCATAAAAACAACACAATATACATAAAAACAGACACCAATTAATTAAAATACATCTTAAAATTAATTCAGACAAGTTAAAATCTGGGCAGGTGGCAATTATCAGGTTGGAACTGAGAGTGGTTAATACTTGCCGGGAGCAATTGTTTCCACTGATCATACAAGGACCTGTGAGTGGGTTGGGGGTCTCCTTCGGGCTTGTTTTATACAATGGAAAGTAAGTCAAAATGCATCCTGCCCAAAGGCCTGGGGGAACAGCTCCAACTTGCAGGCCCTGCAGAAAGATGTCATATCCCACAGGGTCCTGGTCTCTTGTGGGAGAGTGTTCCACCAGGCTGGGGCCACGGCCCAAAAGGCCCTGGCTCTAGTCGAGGCCAGTCTAATTTCCCTGGGGCCCTGGATCTTCAAGGTGGTGTTGTTAGCAGAACATAAGGTCCTCTGTGGGGCTTACCAGAAGAGGTGGTCCCACAGGTACGAGGGTCCTAGGCCATATAGGGCTTTAAAGGTTAAAACCAGCACCTTAAACCTGATTCTGTACTGCACCAGGAGCCAGGGCAGCTGGTATAGCACTGGGTGAATGTGGTCCTGTGGTGGGGATCCCGTAAGGAGTCTCGCTGCAGCATTCTGCAGCTGCTGGAGTTTCTGGGTCAGTTTCAAGGGCAGCCCCACGTAGAGTGAGCCTTGCAACAATCAACTATCTGCCACTGCTGAAAACAGAATGCTGAACCAGACTTCGTCTGATCCATGCTCTTATGAACTACCATTCACATATTTAAAGAGTCTGCCACATGACACCTGCCTCCCCTGAAAAAAAAAATCATGCAAGTTAGGTCTCATTCACAGCATATATTGAAAGAAACATGATACTGCTTTAAAATCATGACTTCCCCCAAAGAATTCTGGGAGCTGCATTACGTCAAATGAGTGGAGAGTTGCTAGGAGATCCCCTATTCCCCTCACAGAGCTACCATTGCAGTACATCCTTAGCGAAGCCCCAAGAAACCGTAACTGATGAAAAAGTTTATTTTTATTCAAATATGACAACACAGAGGATTTGCAAACAACCAATATTGACATAATTAGCAAAATCAAAATATAGCCTATGCAGAGAAGTTCTTTAAGGTGAGATTGGGTCCCTCCCTACTTCTTTGCACGTTTACAGGTTCCACTTGTGGTCCTGCAAGAAAAGATCCAAACAAGTTCTTCCTCATTGGTATGGGAACTTCGAGTATGTGAAATTGATAAGCACACTGTGGCCACACTAGGTTGGCATTCACCCCAGTGTGCTTGCCAAGTCTATAGGAGTACATAGGAGTACAAAAAAGAAAAAAAAGAAATTGATTTCAGGATTCATTTTTCTTGGGAGGTGTCATCTTCTGTACATCATGCTGGATACCCCTCACCTTGAAACGGTCCCACAGAATCCACTTAGGACCTAAAACCCAGACAGTGTTGGATGACAAAGAGTGCCCTAAATCCAGTAATGCCACAGGTATATATACTAGAAGGGACGTGGGTGGCGCTGTGGTCTAAACTAAGCCTAGGGCTTGCCGATCAGAAGGTCAGCGATTCGAATCCCTTTGACGGGGTGAGCTCCCGTTGCTCGGTTCCTGCTCCTGTCCATCTAGCAGTTCGAAAGCACATCAAGGTGCAAGTAAATAGGTACTGCTCTGGCGGGAAGGTAAACGGTGTTTCCATGCGCTGCTCTGGTTTCACCAGATGCGGCTTAGTCATGCTGACCACATGACCTGGAAAAACTGTCAGCGGACAAACGTTGGCTCCCTCAGACAGTAATGTGAGATGAGCGTGCAACCCCAGAGTCGTCTGCGACTGGACCTAATGGTGAGGGGTACCTTTACCTTTATATATACTAGAGCGGTTCATAAAAAACTTTTTTTTGGAAAATGCCTTCTCCAAAGGTCTTATCTTACCACACTAGGGATTATATAGCTATATCTGAAATTTCATGCATATCAGTTAATATCTTGACCCTGCTCCACTGAATTGAAATTTCAGCCTTCACAACATAGGAATACGGCCAAATAAACAGCTATTTTCATGCATATCAGTTAATATCTTGACCCTCCTCCATGAAAATAGCTGTTTATTTGGCCGTTTTCCTATGTCGTGAAGGCTGAAATTTCAGTTCAGTGGAGCAGGGTCAAGATATTAACTGATATGCATGAAATTTCAGATATAGCTATATAATCCCTAGTTTAGTAAGATAAGACCTTTGGAGCAGGCATTTTCAAAACGGTTTTTATGAACTGCCCTAATATACACCCCACTTGACTTTCCTGCCAATACTGAAAGCCAAACAAACAAATTAAAAACACCACTTCAAAAATTGGACTCCCAGCAGTAGGGAGTAGGTGAAAAAGAGGAGGGGCTTCCTAGGGCTCCCCCCACCAAATCCTACTCATCCCCCAAACATGCAAGTAGCAAAGTCCATGCCACAAAGGGAGGGAAGGAATCACAAAGAGAAGAGTAAAGTGTTTGGGGCGGAGCCATCTTATAAAGCCTGGCTTCTTCCCCATCCTGATTAGCCTGTCATCTCACCTGACCCTTCCCCAACTCCTCCGCAGGGCTAAACCATTTTGAGTCTTCTTCCCAGGGGAGTTGAGATGTGGCAAATCCACTTGCGCTCAAGGGTGGGAGTGGCACTCCCAGAATGGCTTAACAGTCAGTTCCTCTTTCCAAGAAACTCTGGTAATGGTAGCTCGGGGGGGGGGGGTAGGTGTGTAGGTGGCCCACAATTGAAATCCTCCCCCCCCCATTAATTTTTATTGATTCTCAAAAAAAAATTACAAATTAATGCCCAGTTAATTCAAATTTAACATAAAATCCTGTTGTTGTTTAGTTGTTTAGTCGTGCCCATGACCCCATGGACCAGAGCATGCCAGGCACTCCTGTCTTCCACTGCCTCCCACAGTTTGGGCAAACTCATGCTGGTAGCTTCGAGAACACTGTCCCACCATCTTGTCCTCTGCCGTCCGCTTCTCCTTGTGCCCCCCATCTTTCCCAACATCAGGGTCTTTTCCAGGGAGTTTTCTCTTCTCATGAGGTGGCCAAAGTATTGGAGCCTCAGCTTCATGTTCTGTCCTTCCAGTGAGCACTCAGGGCTGATTTCCTTAAGAATGGAGAGGTTTGATCTTCTTGCAGTCCATGGGACTCTCAAGAGTCTCCTCCAGCACCATAATTCAAAATCATCAATTCTTCAGCGAACAGCCTTCTTTATGGTCCAGCTCTCACTTCCATACATCACTACTGGGAAAACCATAGCTTTAACTATACAGGCCTTTGTTGGCAAGGTGATGTCTCTGCTTTTTAAGATGCTGTCTAGGTTTGCCATTGCTTTTCTCCCAAGAAGCAGACGTCTTTTAATTTTGTGACTGCTGTCACCATGTGCAGTGAATAAAATCCTATGCAGGTGTATTCAACAGTAAGCCCCACCAAGTTCTCTTATAAAGAGATGGGAATCTGACATTGCTCTAAACACTGGCAGAGGAATAGGGCTGCAGAGGGAGCGGACCACCCCCGGCACCACTATTCAGGTAGGGTGCCATCGCGGTGGCCCCTCTGGACACGCGCCATGCACACGTACGCACGCTGGGCACCACACACCCACAGGTGGCGCACCACACCCCCAGAACACACTCCAGGCCCCCCGGGGTGCATGCCATTCCCCCGCCTGCTCTCCGCCCCCAGTAGCGGAGCATGCAGCTTCGTCACTGGCTCTACAAAAGAAAAGAAGAAAGGTGCTCAGTTCCCTCACCTCCCCCGCCCCTGGTAAGCAGGGAGAATTTTAATAGGCAACTTTCAATCCGCCCTAAATAAAAACAAGGAGTATCTAAACTATAAGCCTTATGTTTATATTTAATGCAGACCTCCAGTTCAGAAACAAGTCTTAGAAAATTCACTAGCTTTTTTGAGGTATTATTTGCTCCTCTCAGATTTTCTCAAATGTCCAACCTGTTTGGGAAACTCAGCATTTGTTTGGAGGCTTTGCTTTAAAAAAGGTAAAAAATAAAAAATAAAATAAACAGTAGCCGTTGTAGGAGATTCAAGAGGAATTGAATGAGAAAGTGTCCAGTTATTTGATTCTGGTATATTATGTTTCTTGAACAGGTTTCGTGTACGGTTATGTAAAGCCTACACACATCGATCACCAAGAATGTTTAAAAAAGGGTGGCCGATGCTTAGGAAGAACTAGCTGTGAAGAACAGTTTGTTTTCTATGGACACTGTCAGAATGGAAGCAGAGGCATATGCTGTAAAAGGTAAATCCATAATATTGCAGGTTACGTGGCAGAGTGGAGAGTATTATGGAGGTGAAATCAAAAATTTGTTGTTGTTTAGTCATTTAGTCATGTCTGACTCTTCGTTCAGCAGCCACCTGCTCAACCACCTGACCCAAGAATGGAAGATTTGAGACTGGGCGATAGTTGGCGAAATCTAAAGATGGTTTTTTAAGAAGCGGTTTAATGACCCTCACAGAGGGAAGCATTCACCACCCTGCAGAGCCCATCGCCCAGCCCTTCTTGGTTCACTTTTATGAGCCAGGATGGGCAAGGATCAAGGAGACAGGTGGTCAGTTTCATTCATCCAAGCAGGCTGTCCATATCCTCGGAGGTTAACAGATTGGAATTGATTCCACGCACCTTGACTAGACAGGGCTCTTGCACTCTCCCGCCCTGCCCCTGCTCCCATGGTGGAGTCTACCTCTTTCTGAATCTGAGTGACTTTATCTGCAAAAAAGACTTTGCAAAATCGTTGCAAGAGATCCTGGGGCCCTTACCAGGCCCCGATAGCACTGGTGGTTCTGTTAAATTGCAAACCACCTGAAAGAGTCTCCTGCTGCTGTTTTCTGCAGATGGAATAGAGGTGGTGAAGAAGGTCCTCTTCGCTATTGCTACCACCACTTGGTAGGCTCGACATTGAGCATTAACTCATGTCCAGTCAGATTCAGAATGAGTTTTTCACCACTGGCACTCTAGCCATCTCAGTGTTTGTTTCATTGCCCTCAGCTCCAGGGGAAACCAAAGTGCTATCTGGGCTCCAAGGAATCAAAGAGGGCACATCAGAGCCAGATGGTCAATAGCCCTGGTTAACTCTGGAGTCTGTAGACCAAAGCTTATTGAGAGAGTTCAGCATGTTTAGGCTGGAGAAGAGGAGAATGAGAGTAGATAGCCATCTTCAAATATCTTAGGGGCTTTTACATGGAAGATGGAGCAAGCTTGCTTTTTCCTGCTCCAGAGGGTAGGACCTGATCCAATGGATTAAACTTACAAGAAAGGAGATTCCAACTCAACATCTGGAAGAACCTTATGATGATAAGAGCTGTTCAACAGTGGAATGGACTCCCTCAGAAGGTGGTGGACTCTCCTTCACTGGAGGTCTTTTGAAGCAGAGGTTGGATGGCCATCTCCCTTCATTGCAGGGGGTTGGACTAGATGACCCTTGAAGTACCTTCTAACTCAACAATTCTATGATTCTGTGACTAGCTGTGAGATCATATACAGTGGATGCTCGGGTTGTGAATGTGATCAGTGCAGGATGCATGTTCGCAACCTGCAGCATTCGCAACCTGTGTCTGTGCACGCGCGGGTTGCAATTTGACGCGCATGCGCAAAGCGTGATTTAGCGCTTCTGCGCATGCGCGACTGCCGAAACCCGGAAATAACCCATTCCGGTACTTTCGGGTTTCGGCGGTCCGCAACCCGAAAAAACACAACCTGAAGCGGCTGTAACCCGAGGTATGACTGTATATCTGGCCTTTACCTGTATATTGGGGCATCCTCCCCCCTCCCCCCAAAAGCTCCACAACTTTGGCTCATCCCCCCCCCCAAAAAAGCTCAACAACTTTGATGAAGCTTTCCCCCCAAAAAAGCACAGCAACTCTGGTCAATCCAAAGGGTAGATCACGGCCAGTTGTTTTTTTTTAATAATGGGAGTAGATTGCAGTCTCTTGGAAGTTGGTCGTACCTGATATATATGTTTTAAATAGGTTTTGGATATATTCAATCATTTTTCTTGTGTTGTGTCTGTAGCCCTGGGTCCCTCTGAGCGGAAGAACTATCAATAATTTATCAAATAAATAAATACTACCACCTTTTCACTTAATGTTTTTTTCTTCCTCTGCAGAGACCCAGAAGAGTACTGCAAATGGCGGGGAGGTGCATGCACTAAAAATAAATGTCCTCCAGATAGTTCTTCCCTTCACAAGTGCACTAAAAGGGTTTTCTGCTGCAGAAAGTGAGTTGCAAAGCTTGACAGATAAAATGCAAAAAGGAAAGAAGAAAAAAATTGTCCAGATGACTGCATATCTTTAGTGGGGTATCTTTAGCAAAGGGTAAATTGCATAGCAGGAGGGGGTTGTAGGAGATACACTGTAAATGGTTGGCTGAGGAAATAGGTTCAGCTGCAATCTCTTAAACCAATATCCTTGAAATGCTGTTGACCTGGTCTCAATGGTTGGGTTATCTCTTTATTTGCATGAGCAGCGAGTGATAAGAAAAACCTGCAGGATGAGGCCAATGGCTCTCCTGGCCCAGCATCCTGTTCCCACAGTGGCCAGGCAGATACCTATGGCGCAGAACATCAGCGCAACAGCACTCTGAACATTTGCTATTCCCAGCAGCTGGCATTCAGAGGCATACTGCCTATGAAGTGGAAGCAGAACATAACCATTGTGGCTAGTAGCCTTTTATCGCTTTATTCTCCATTCATTTTCTAAGCCTCATTTAAAGCTATTCAAGCTGGTGGTCGTCACTGCCTCTTGTGTAAATCAGACCGTTGCTGGGATTGAATGCCACAGAGGACCATCAGAGCTCAAGTGCCAGACCAGTGAGATTCAGCTAAAAGACGGGAGCAGATGTATGGAGACCACCAAGCCCTTTATCAAGGGCTATATTAAAGCCAGGGGGGCGCTTTCCCCCCAGCTGTGTGTGTGGCAAGAGGCAAAATTTCACAGAGGAATGGATGCAATTTTTACTTAATCACAGTGTTACATTTCACATCCAATACACACACAAGACGTAACCGGCTATACATTTGAAAAAATAATATCTACTATTCATTGTATTGGACGCGGGTGGCGCTGTGGGTTAAACCACAGAGCCTAGGACTTGCTGATCAGAAGGTTGGTGGTTCGAATCTCCTCAATGGGGTGAGCTCCCATTGTTCGGTCCCAGCTCCTGCCAACCTAGCAGTTCCAAAGCACATCAAAGTGCAAGTAGATAAATAGGTACTGCTCTGGCGGGAAGGTAAACGGCGTTTGCGTGCACTGCTCTGGTTCACCAGAAGCAGCTTAGTCATGCTGGCCACATGACCTGGAAGCTGTACGCCGGCTCCCTTGGCCAATAAAGCGAGATGAGCGCCGCAACCCCAGAGTCGGCCACTAATGGTCAGGGGTCCCTTTACCTTTACCTTTTCATTGTATTGAATTGTAGATTTCATTCATTGTACTGAATTGTAGATTTCAATAGCTCATAAAGTTCAACGAAAAAAGTAGAAGACCCGGTGGATCAGTTCATTCTCTAATCAGTTTATGCATAAGGTCCATATATGTGAAAGTGTCTATTCCATCTGTCTGTTCATAGAGTTCAGCAATCCACACGAAAGGTTGTTGCAGTTCCACAGAATCCTTTCACAGAGTCTAAGACAAGGATTTCTGGAATATTAGCCTTGTTTCGCCGTCCTGGGCTTCATCAGTAGTACAAACTCATATATGATATCACAGGACAGTGGATCTTATAGCATAGTAGTTGAACGTTATAAGCTACTTCTGTTGAAATCTACAATTCAATACAATGAATAGTATATATTATTTTTCAAATGTACAGCCAGTTACCTCTTGTGTGTTTATTGAATATGTTTCACGTAACCAGAGGTTTGTTGTTGTTTTGCACATTTCACATCCATGCAAAGGCTTGAGGTTGCCGCAAATCTCCTTTCCCACCCATTTGTCTGAAATTTGGTGGACTAGCCCCTCGCAAAAAGAGGCTACTGCATTTGGGCACATTTCATCAAATTCATCCAAACAACTTTAAAAAACAACAACCGCAAACCCACCAATGAGTATTTATTAATTATTCCATTATGGTCAATAGGAGAGACATCTGAGGCTTCAGAGGTTTAGGCAAGACAAGCTCTACTTCATATTTAAGGTGTGAAGCCTAATGTTAGCCCAGGTAACGGAATCAAGGAGATCTGCTGTCTGAATGAAGGGACCCCTCCCCCCACCATGTGCTTAGTTTTTCTATGTATAATCATGACAATATACAGTAAATTGGTATGGTCTGATGATACATGGCTAATGAGCCATGTTTGATTAGGTGGCAGCTTTTTCAGAGCCAGGTCAAAGTTACCAGTTATTTGAGAGCAGTAGGTTTATAAGGTTTTCCTCAGTGTTTTCTAGAGTCACAAATTTCCCCGTTTACTCTTTCAGGCGTCCGAAATAAAAAACAAGGCATTACTAATAGTAACTCTGATCGTGTTCCAGCAAACATCCTTGAGAGCTGCAGAAGCAAGGAAATCAACAACTGTGTCTTCAAAGGGTCCACAAAACCATCAAATATGTCGCTGTGGAATAAATACAAGAAACATTTAGCCATCTGTTTGCCTTATCCTTATCTTTCTACACTGTTTGATATGAACGTTGATATGAACGTTTAGATGATTTCTCTTGGGTCTCCAAGCTGTCATCACGGCAGATGTCTTGTAATAATGATTGCAAGCGTTTAGTACTTCACAATCAATTGAAAATTATGTTTCTTATTGAATTTCTGCAATCTGCTTTGTAGGAGCCAATATTTTATTATTATTACTATTATTATTACTAAGTCTTGCTGCACCATTCAGACATCAATTTCAGCCTTTGACAGTCTTGCCTTTCGACAGGAGTAGCCCTGCCATTTATTTATTTTTGGCCAATTATTTTTATTGATTTTCCTAATTATTACAAATCTTGCCAAATTAGATTAATTAATACAATTTCCCAAAACTGGCTTTCCACTCTCCTTATAAGGTATGTCCAAGATGAACCCGTGTTTCTGCTCATATTCTCAATTAATCTCTAGATAACCCCCCCCCCCCAGTATTTACCAATATTATTATCCATCAGCTGCCACTCTACATCCCTGCGTACAGCAAAAAAATCAAGTAATCCCCCCTTCCTCTCTTTCTCTCTCTCTAATCAATAATAGCAAGTGTAGCTTGTTTTTCAAATTCAGATCCCCCCCCCCCACTTTAGCTGTAACTCTTGCTCACTCTGCCCAAGATCACATTGATGCTCAGCACTACCCTTTTGCATGAAGTTCCTACCAGGAATTTTCAGAGTTGTCAGATGATAATCCATGGGACAATGCACTGTATTTATAGAAGAAACCTACTAATTGTCAGCTTGTAAGGCCCTGAATAGCTCAGGAGCAGACTACCAGCTCATTCATGGACACCATCAGAGGAGGACTTCCGGTTGCATGCCTCCCATCCCTTCACCATCCTCTGTCATCCTGTGTCTATTCTCCGCAACGCCAACCTCTCCTTTCCCATCCCCGGTTTGCCCCAGTGGGTCCTAGTCCCAGCTGCACCCCTTGCTGGGATCCTCTTCCCCGTTGTCCTGCCATGACGTCCTTCCAGTCAGGCTTCAGGCCTTGTCATGGCACTGAAAGGGGGCCTTGGCCCCCTTAGTAAATGACCTTTATCCTGGGAGAGATAAAGATGGGCATAGTGACCTTGCTCTTCCTCCTTGTTCTCTCAGTGGCTTTCCATACTGTTGGACACAGTATCCTTCTGGAGTGTCTCAGGAGGTGGCTTCTAATTTTAAGGCAGGGATTTGCTGACTTATTTCAGCTTATTTCCCACCATCTGTATAAAGTGCTATGATACCACCTTTAATGGTCACTCATGGCTTCTCCCTTACAAATTATGGGAACTCTTAGTAAGTGACACAGGTTAAAATCAAAAGTGATACATATCCTGCCTCGTGAATCTCACAGCCATGTTTGAAAGTCTCTGGAATCACTGTTCACCTGAAAAGTGCCTCTGGGTACTCACCATTTGTGTCTACCTAATGATTAAAAAAACCGGGATGCAGGTGGTGCTGTGGTCTAAACCAGTGTTTTTCAACCTTTTTTGGGCAAAGGCACACTTGTTTCATGAAAAAAATCACGAGGCACACCACCACTAGAAAATGTTAAAAAATTAACTCTGTGCCTATATTGACTATATATAAAGTAATTCTCTTGAATAGGAATCAAATAAACGCAAAGAAGCATGGTTTAACATTCAAGCATGGTTTAATATTTTTTTCTTTAATGGCAAACAAAAATGTTGCGGACCGTTCTCTGCTCAGCAGGGATCGATCCGCTGATCACCGCTGAGCCGGCGGATGATAGCTCCGTCTCCACACTGTGTGCGGAGAGGGAGATGTCAGAGCCCCGCTGCTCTCTATGGGGAATCGGATGAGAGCGGACCGCCTGTCCGCTCTCATCCGATCCCATCCGATCTGATCCCCACCCAGGACGGATGGAAAATAGGGTGGACACAGTCCGGCGCCCGCCTAGTGGGCGAAAATTTGACTTTTTTAAAAAAAATCTTTCGAATTTTTCAATTTCCCCCCCGACACACCAGGCAACATCTCGCGGCACACTAGTGTGCGGCGGAACAGTGGTTGAAAAACACTGGTCTAAACCACTGAGCCTAGGGTTTGCCGATTGGAAGGTTGGTGGTTCGAATCCCCATGACGGGGTGAGCTCCCGTTGCTCGGTCCCAGTTCCTGCCAATCTAGCAGTCCGAAAGCACATCAAAGTGCAAATAGATAAATAGGTACTGCTCTGGTGGGAAGGTAGACCGTGTTTCCATGCACTGCTTTGATTTCGCCAGAAGCAGCTTAGTCATGCTGGCCACATGACCCGGAAAAACTGTCTGCTGACAAACGTTGGCTCCCTTGGCCAGTAAAGCGAGATGAGCGCTGCAACCCCAAAGTTGTTCGCGAGTGGACTTAACTGTCAGGGGTCCTTTACCTTTAGCTTTAATAAAAAAAATGTGGGGAGGGGCACCAGGAAACAAAGCAATGATAATCACATTTATTCACAAAAAAAGACTACTTTTAATAGCCTATTTATATGATATACTCTTGCTGATACAGGTTTCCAGGCCCTCCCAGTATCCCTATTTTCCAGGGACATCCCTGGAAGCTTTAGAGAAGCTGTCCCAGTGTCTGATTTGATCCTGGGAATGTCCCATTTTTCATTTGGATGTCCCTATTTTCAATGGATAAATGTTGGAAGGTATAGTAGGATGTCCCTATTCTCACTGGAGGGTATGGAGTTATCCAACCCCTGAGCCGTCTGAAGGCAATCCTGTATAGGGAAGGTTTTTTTAAATGTTTAATGTTTTATTATGTTTTTACGCTTGTTGGAAGCTGCCCAGAGTGGCTGGGGCACCAGTAAGATGTGTGGGGTAGAAATAATAAAATTATCATTAGGGAATTGGATGTCCCTATTTTTATCGGAGAAATGTTGGAGGGTTTGGGTTCCAAAGAAGGTGACATGGGTGATAATGGCCATTACCATTTTAAAGAATTAGCAGGCATGTTTTGGAAGATCTTTCAAATGCCTTTTGGGCTTCTGACCTTTAACCTTGGAAGGAATGAGCGATGAAACTTATCCCTTTGGTGTCTGACACCCAAAACACTTTTATTTTTTCATCTCTCCTTCCATAACTTAGATAGAATTGTGACCTTTGGAAAATGGGAACAAGTAGAACTATAGAAACTCAAATAACCAATGGCCCTTAACAGGCCGGGATATAAAATGAATGCTTGGTAACTTCCTGCATAATTTTGCATTTCATATGCCAATGATCTGATTACAGGTGACTCATACATTAACCTATTTTGAACATGTAATATATCCTTTTGGGAAAGTGAAGTGTAGGTGGGTTCTCATAAGGCAAGACACAGTAATAACAGCAAGAACCTTTATTGAACTAACAGAACTGGACAACAGGGACAAAGCAACTGCTTATATACATTTCTGAAGGCCTGGGCCAATCCCACCCCCAATGTGATTGGCTGCGAGTAATGACTCAGACTTTAAGGGGCAATTGCAGAAGCCCAAATCCTGAAATGTTCTGTGATTGGATATTATGTATCGAATCAGAACACAGGAGCTGAATACATAACCGAAAGGGCTTATCTTTCTGATCTATAACCCTTTGGCCTCTGTCACACAGGTTCCAACTTCTATCTTTGTCCTAAACTGCATTGGGAAAAGGACCTGGGAGAATTTTTGAAAGATATCGAATGGGATAAGAATTGGGTTAAGGTCTCTTTTAAATTTGCTTCAGTAGAGACCTGGGGGGCAGAGGCAGATTTAGGGCAGTGTGACCAGTTCTGCCACACTGGGTGTCAAGCCTAGGGGGTGCCCCAACTATGACCTAGTGAACTGAGCAGAATGGAAGGTGAGAGGCTGGTGGGTGCCTAGTTTTGGCCTTGCACAGGCGCTGTTGAAATTTGAAAGACCTAATATTTGCCCCTGCTGGGAGAACGCTCTAGAGACGTTGCACACTGTTGGTGTATACACACCCACTTAAGCTAAATAACTTCAGCACTTTGCTGGAGGAATTGGAATAATCCCGGCTTTTTTTATTCATATGTGGTGGTTCTTTCCTTGGGTGCCTTCTTCTGGGGAAAACAGAAAGCTGTTTCAGGAGGCTTGTTTTATTATGAAGCAAGATATTTCTCTGGACCCTAAATTTTCATGGTTGACATATTACAGAGAGGATGCCAATGGTATCTTGCGCCGAGACCTCACGGCACACTTAATGACAACAGCAAAGCTTGCCTTCACCAAATAAATATATAAATGTGCCACTATTTGAGATCTGGCTCCCACAACTTTCGGATATGACACTAATGGGCAAACAACCAGCATGTGTACATGAGAAAAGAACAGGCAAAAAGCTCAGAACTTTTCACTTGACCTGGTACAACTTTTTTACTTATGCAATAGCCAATGAACAGCAGCATAGACCCTCAGCAACATATGGGGACCTTTGGAATGACAGCTTTGTTTAACATGGAGAATAACATTCTGTAATCAAAACCCCACTGTCTCCAGTCTCAGCGCTTTGCATGGGAAGTAGAATGATATAAGGCTGGTTGGTTTCACATTGTATGTCTTCCTTTTCCCCCCTCCTGTATTACTATCAGAATTTTAAAAAAAATCTTTTTAAACACGGAAGATCTGCCTGCTTCTGCTCACTTCATTTTCCATCCCTTATCTACTCAAATTAAAGGAGCTTCCATAGTCAGAAATTCAGTCAGATTCCAACTTCCCAGTCCTTTACCGACAGGTCCTAAGCATTAAGGAAGTTTCATTATATACACTATGTACAGGCTTCCATTAGAGCCCTAGTAGAAAGTGCAGGTTTCAAATGCAAAGCAAGTACAACTCACAGCAGACATACAGCACAGAGTTCGTATAAATCTGGCAGAGCTTCTTCAGAGCAAAGCTAGAAGGCAATGCACAGCCTTCTAATTAATATACCCAAGAATGACCACACCCTTGGCTGGCTGCCAGATCACAGTGACCTTCAAACACTAATCATAAGACCTGCAGGTGCAAAGGAAGGGAAGCACGTGCAACAGATTTTCCTTAACAGCAATGAAAGGTACCTCAACACTTTACACTCTCCCAGCCTTTGACATCGCATCACCCACAGTTACTTTGGCCTCAAAGGAGAAGAGCCAACTACATCTTTATTTATTAAAAAGGGGGAGGAGAGGGTGGCGCAGTGGTCTAAACCACTGGGCCTCTCGGCAGCCAGTTGAACGCAAAACTATCTATCTATCTATCATCTATCTATCATCTATCTACCATCTATCTATCTATCTATCTATCTATCTATCTATCATCTATCATCATCTATCATCATCTATCATCTATCATCTATCATCTATCTATCATCTATCATCTATCAATCATCTATCATCTATATCTATCATCTATCATCTATCATCTATCATCTACACCTATCACCTATCATTTTCTATTAAAAATACACAAAACAAGAAAAACATCATAGCCCCAGCTCTTTACTTAAAACATTTCCTATAGGCCTTCTGGAATAAAAAGGTCCTTGCTTGTCAGGAGAAGGACAAGGAGGGAGCCAGGCTAACTTCTCAAGGAAGAAATGTCCCTGAATATTATTATTATTATTCTTATTATTATTAATAATACCCCATCCATCTGGCTGGGTTTCCCCAGCCACTTTGGGTAGCTCCCAAAAGAATATTAAAAACATGATAAAACACCAAACATTAAAAACATCTCTAAACAGGGCTGCCTTCAGATGTTTTCTAAAAGTCAGATAGTTTATTTTCTTGACATCTGATGGGAGGGCATTCCGCAGGGAGGGCGCCACTACTGAGAAGGCCCTCTGCCTGGTTCCCTGTGACTTTGCTTCTTGCAATGAGGGAACTGCTAGAAGGCCCTCGGCGCTGGACCTCAGTGTCTGGGCTGGACGATGGGGGTGGAGACACTCCTTCAGGTATACTGGGCCAAGGCCATTTAGGGATTTAAAGGTCAGCACCAACACTTTGAATTGTGCTTGGAAACATCCTGGGAGCCAATGTAGGTCTTTCAGGACCAGTGTTATATGGTCCTGGCGGCCACTTCCAGTCACCAGTCTAGCTGCCACATTCTGGATTAGTTGTAGTTTCTGGGTCACCTTCAAAGGTAGCCCCAAGTAGAGCACATTGCAGTAGTCCAAGCGGGAGATACGGTAACTAGAACATGCACCACTCTGGCGAGACAGTCTGCAGTCAGGTAGGGTCTCAGCCTATGTACCAGATGGAGCTGATAGACAGCTGCCCTCGACACAGAATTGACCTGCACCTCCATGGACAACTGTGAGTCCAAAATGACTTCCAGGCTGAGCACCTGGCCCTGAAGTAATTATAGCTGTGTCCAGTTAAAAGAAAATTGGTGGGTGGGTGGGTGGTGGAACAGTACAATCAAATGAACAATGAAGTATATAAAAAGAAAACCTGAGCGGATGCAACAGAAGCTACGAGGTACCATTTTGGTAAACAGCTGCAGGCACGTATCTTGACCATCTGAAGCATCCTTCTGTTTCATTTTGGGATTGTGAGTATGCTCTCTCAAGTTTTACCACAGATGAAACAATTGTACTGGTATTCAGGTTCTTTCTGGGCTTACCACTGAAACCCTGCATGGCTTCGTGCCTCAGCTGAATAAGCAACTGCCCTGTCTGTAAGTTCTCTCTGCAGGCCATTCTTCAAGAGCCTCCACCATTTCAGATGAGGTAGGTGCTAACTAGGGTGCAGATCTTCTCAGAGCTTCCCTTCCCGGCATTTATGGAGTGGCTTCCTTTGGACACTTGTCTGTCACTTCTTTTTGGAGCTAAACAAATACCTTTTTTTATTTTCCATAACTTCTAATTAAACTGTGGCATTTATTCTGCTGTTTAATCACAGTGGCTCTATTTCCTTCTGTGTAGTTTGTGTAAGGTGTCCTTGAAGAGGAACAGCAGATTCTGAAAGACCATGTGTCTCCTACCTGGCTGCGGTCTCCACATCACCACTTTTGTGTTCCTCCTTGTGATGTTGCCTGTTGTTGATGCCTCTGCAGAAACGTCTACTGTCATAAACTTGGCTGCTTCCCTCAAACAAAAGGCTACAGAATGGGACCAAGAGCTGTGTGCTGCAGAAGGTGCCTGTAAACCTCGCAGAGATTTTCAGCCTGAATTTAATATCCGCCTTCCAAAGATCAATAAAGAAGACAAATGCTCTCCCGACGATGGATTTGAAAAGGAAACCTGCCTGAGAGGGCTTTCAAGTGGACTTTATCAATTTCGGGTGTTTTTGGAATATCTACAAGAATCACTCAGTATCAGTGAGACACCACCAGTTAAATATATTTGGCCAACAACAGAGAACCTGGCAAGTAGTTTGATGTCAATGATGCAGAATTCTAAGACTGTGACCCCTCTTGATCCAGATAACGCAGACTTTTACTCTAAAAAACTAGCAAGCTATAGCAACTGGCAAAAAATACTTATTCAGCATGTCATACTTCAAAAATATATTTCATTTATGGAGAAAATTGTAGGTGCGTTTAGATACATGTAGTTCTCGTATCTACACAATGTAAATAAAGTACACCACTTAAAATTAGGGCTGCAAACAAGGGCTTACAAGGGGTACAAACAAATCAGTCCCTAAGCTAGTAGGCACTTACCTATAAATTTATTTTAAAAGAAAGCCAATTAGTGAAGGAAGGTATGAACTGTTGTAAATGAATAAATACATAAAACAAATGCCTTAAAAATGGGATCTCTTGCTTTTTATATGTCCTCTGATGTCTAACTCTATACATCCCCAAACCACAGAGTTGCCATATTTCAAAAAGTGAAAATCTGGACACAAGTTGAGCAAAACCTCAAAACAACAAGAGTTTCTGAAGAATTAGATTTAACTGTCATCAGAGTCAGCAAGGACTTTTTTGAATTTAAAAATACTTGCTTTGTCATGGAGTGAAGCCATAGAAGCAGATGGCAGACACACAACAAAGATAACTATGCGTTTCATTTCACTGACATCATCAGGAGATTGTAGTGAAAAAAGGTGTGATATAACGACCACAGGGAAGCATATTTACAAGATCTCGGCTTTTGATCTATATTCAGAACAGAAATTCCTAGCCTGTCCTCCAAAAGTGAAGCTTTCAAACTTTATGCCTGATTTAAACAGAGGACATGCCTGAAGGAAAGTGGGGAGCTTGCGATCAAATGTTGGTGTAGGCGATAAGGTAATTAAGTGGGTTCTGAAAGGGCCTCCAAGGTGTAGGCTGTAAGGAATGTAAGAAGGAACATTGCTCCTTGTGTCCTTAACTTTGCTCTGCCAAAAACAGAAATAGTCACAAAATGGCCAGTGTAGGGACATGGCGATTTAGGGAATCATTGCTGTGGGAAGCATAGGCATTCACAAAATGGCTGCCCTTGCTGATGTGTTCAGTAATAAAAATTGCTGCTGTGACAAGGCACCCACTTCACTAAAGGCAAATTGAAGAGGCAGTGACCCCTTACCTATGTCTGGTGTTTCCTTAAAAGTTGCTCACAGAAGGGGATATTTAAGGAAACCGTTTTTAACCACCCCAAAAGTGAAGTCAGTCCTTGCAGAAATATGCGTCTGATGTTTGGCAGGATTCTTCTCTTCCAAAGAGGATGTACAAAATTGGAAACTCTATGCACGAAACTCACACCAGTGACCAGGCTTCAAGAGCCTTACCCCTTTCAAATTATTGTTGAACGCTGCCAAAAAGATGGAACAAGGTGTAGCGTCTGGACCAGCCTTTCTCAACCTTGGGACCCCTCATGTTGGCCATCATCCCTAGCTAGCAGGACCAGGGATGATGGGAGCTCTAGTCCAACAACATCTGTGGACTCAAGGAAGATTGAGAAAGGTTGGTCTATATTAATATATATGGGTAGAGCTGACAGTCTAAAGCAGATGTTTGATGTGAGAAGTCAATTGAGAGATTACTATCAATGAATCTCCTATTTACCCAACTGTTCTTGTCATTCATTTTGGGGGAAATGACTTTGTTCAGTGGACAAGACCAGATTTGTTTGCAGAGTGATCATCCCCATCACCAACATTTTTAATTTGTATACCGTCTTTCTGTCTTACAATACTCAAGGCGGTTTACAAGCTGAAGAAACAAAAAATGTACATCTTATAACAATCAAATGCAATACAAAAATGTGATAATAAAACATAACTTTTAGACAAGCAACCTACATCAAAAAAGTAACATTCAACAATCATTAGAGTAGTATAAAATAATATCAGCATATAAAAGTTACAGAAATTCACCCTTAACAGTTATGATAAATAATTTCTAAGCTATAATCAATAAAACAACGACAAGCCACAGTACATGAAATAATACAATACAAATTGAGAAGCAGAAGACTAGAGGGTGGAGCAAGGCAGGTGGAAGGAGGCCTTGCCTGATGGAGTCTCTCCCCTCACAGTTCTTCCTCCAGGCACAGCCTCCTTCAAAGATGGGCTCCTAACTTGTTCCTTGGGTGAGTCCATTAAGGTGGAGAGGACAAGGTGTGGTGTGAACACAATGGATAACAAGGTCCTTCTAACAATGGGGTGGACTTACATACCCCATGGCAGGATCAGGAACATGACCCCCCCCTTTATTTAGGGCTGATGGATTTCATCTTCCTGTTCAGGGATGTGAAATATGTTTGGAAGATATGCAGAGAGCACCAGGTTCCTTTTGGAGAGAAGGCAGGATATAAATTGAGCAAATGAATAAACAAAACATTGAGCTCCCCCCCGCCCCCCATGGAATGAGGTGAACAAGCTGGAGATAATCACCTCTAGCAGCATTTAGTTTGGGTAGCTGAGGAAGTTAGGAATATAAGCATTAGAAACATGAACTGTGGTTAAGGGCACAGTTTAGAAACTAACCTTTGCCTTCTGCATGGTGGGTCCTAGAGAGGGGCTCCCTTTATTTTATTTTGAAATAAATTTTTATTTGATTTTCAAGAATATAAACATACAAGAAAACCAATTCTGAATCCAAATATCAAGATTACTCTGAATCTCCAGACTTCCCCCATCCCTTCCATGGGTCCTATTGATCCTATTAACCACTGCATATTAATACTTCTCCAATTTTATAATCTTTCTAAATTAGCCACACATTCTGTTACATTACGTGTTTAAAATCCTGCCAATGTTTTAACCTGCTTACAATAATCTTGTATATAAACTACAAATTTTTCCCATTTTTTTTTAAGTTCTTGTCTTCTTGGTTCCTGAGCTTCCCAGTTAATTTTGCCATTTCGGCATAGTCCATCAACTTGGTTTGCCATTGTCTGGTCGGGGTTGTTGCTTTCTTTCATCTCCGGGAGGGGCTCCCTTTAGACCTGGCACACACAGTTCACCATACAATGGAGTCTAGGTGTCTGTTGAGCTCACATACCCAAGGATCAGGGGATGCTGGTGGTGCTGTGGGTTAAACCACAGAGCCTAGGACTTGCTGATCAGAAGGTTGGCTGTTCGAATCCCTGCGACGGGGTGAGCTCCCATTGTTCGGTCCCTGCTCCTGCCAACCTAGCAGTTCCAAAGCATGTCAAAGTGCAAGTAGATAAATAGGTACCACTCCGGCGGGAAGGTAAACGGCATTTCCGTGCGCTGCTCTGGTTCACCAGAAGCGGCTTAGTCATGCTGGCCACATGACCCGGAAGCTGTCTGCGGACAAACGCCGGCTCCCTCGGCCCATAGAGCGAGATGAGCGCCGGAACCCCAGAGTCAGTCACGACTGGACCTAATGGTCAGGGGTACCTTTACCTTTACCTTTACTATACTTGCAGGTTTTTGTTCTGCTGTTTATTTGCTGCTGTTGTCTCCCATAAGGGAATCCTAGGATTCAGTCTGTCATCCCCACAAGCAACAAAGCAGAGAGAGAAAGAGCGAGAGAGGGAGGAAATCCCAAACAGAAGACAATGTGCATTGTACTTGGATGCGTTCTCCGCACTGCCACCATCCTTATGCTGCTCCTTGCAACTTTGTCTGTTGGTCAGCCTGACAAGCCCCAAGCCATGAATTTGGCTACTTGCGTCAAACATGTGGCTACTGAGTGGGATAAAGAACTGTGTGAGAAATCTGGTGGATGTGAATGCCAGGGAGATGATCATCCTAATTTCCCCTTCAGCATTCCCGAGATCACCGCAGCAGACAGATGCCAGCCTGAACATGCATTCGACAAAGAAACCTGCCTGAGAGCACTTGCAAGTGGGCTTTTTCATATGGAGTATTTCTGAAATATATAGAACAAAGTCTAGTCTCTGAGCGGCCACCTACATATTCGTGGATAACAGCAAAGCACCTAGCAAATACACTGAAGTCCCTGATGGAAGACCCTGAGACTGTGACTTATCTGGATGAACAGGTGAAGGACTCTTATTCTCAAATGCTAGCAAGCTATACTGACTTCAGAACTGTAGTTATCAAGCACCTCATTCTCCAAGGTTACATTTTGTTGCTGGAGAACATTTGAAACCTGTATACGTACATGGAGGCCTAACAATTTACATGCCTCAAATGATGCCCACCAACTAGCACATATGATCAGGGTGGCCAATGGGTGTGCATAGATCAGGCCCCACGGGTTTTAGCTATCATTTTATCTTTAAAGTAAGACAATCGTTGAAATGCAGGTATGAAATGTTTTAAGTCACAGGTAGCAAACCAAGGCCCGGGGGCCGGATCCGGCCCAATCGCCTTCTAAATCCGGCCCGCGGACGGTCCAGGAATCAGCTTGTTTTCACATGAGTAGAATGTGTCCTTTTATTTAAAATGCTTCTCTGGGTTATTTGTGGGGCATAGGAATTCGTTCATTTCCCCCCCTTCAAAATATAGTCTGACCCCCCACAAGGTCTAAGGGACAGTGGACCGGCCCCTTGCTGAAAAAGTTTGCTGACCCTTGTTTTAAGTGAATAAACACATGAGAAGAAACAGTTTTTAAATGAATGTGATCTCTTGCTTTTGTGTGTGTGTGCCCTCCAACATCTACCCATAAATATTTCCCAAAAATCACCTTCCCAAATGAATGCGTTCTTTTTATCACTTATACGGCAAGATGGGGGCGGGAGCCTATATTACAAAGAAGAAATGGCAGGCATTAATTAATGGGGAAAGACTGGTATTAACTAATAGGAAAGGTCTGCTGACTGCCCGTGGCGGAATTTCATTTGACTGTCAGAGACAGTAAGGATTTTTATTTATTTTTTTGAAGGAAAATGTGCTTTCTTTTTCACAGAGCGAGGCATCAGAAGCAGATGACAGGGACATAATAAATATTGACATGGGTTTCATTTCACCAATATGATTAGCAGATTGTTGTGAGAAAAGGTTATTTACAACATTCCAGCTTTCTGCCTATATTTAGAACAGAAACACCTTCTTCACCACCACCTGCAAAACAAAAGACATGCCATGGAAAGTGAGAGTCGTAGGGTTAAATGTTGGTAACTGGTGTAGCTGATGAAGGTTATGTAAGGGCTTGCAAGGTGTAGGCTGTAAGGAATGTAAGAAGGAACATTGCTATTTGTGTCCTTAACTTTGCTCTGTCAAAAACAGAAATACCGTATTTTTCGCTCCATAAGACACACCTGACCATAAGACGCACCCAGTTTTTAGAGGAGGAAAACAAGAAAAAAATATTCTGAACGAAACAGTGGATGTATGATTTTTGTGGTTCATGCTGTGGCCACAGCCATGTGATCTGATGGTGAATTTGGTGTGACCCAATGCAAAAATCCTGAAGATCCATGTGGATCTGTGCTTTGTAACCACATTTCTGCACCATTGCAGCCCCAGGATTTTTTTGGTGCAGGCTGTAGCCATGGACATGCTATGTGATCTGATGATGAATTTTGGGTGACCCAATGTAAAAATTCTGAGGATCCATGGGCTTTTACCTCCCCCCTCCCAGGCAGCCTCCGCTAGTGTACCTTATCTCTCTCCCGATCCCACCGATCCTCTGCTTTCTTTTAACACTCCCTTCCCTCTTGTTTGCCTTAGTGTCTTTTCCTTAGCTGGAGCAGTTTTTTGCTCCTCCTTTTCTTCTAATTTCTCTCCTTATTGCTTTAGTCTTCCTGTTTCCCCCCTTTGCAAGTTTGCTGTCTTTACCTCCCCCCTCCCAGGCAGCCTCCTTTATCTCTAGTGTTCCTTATCTCTCTTCCCGATCAACAAATGATCAGTGGCTTTGTTTCAACAACTACAATAATAACAGCATGATCTGCTTTTTGCCCCTGGGCAATTCGGCTCCAGGGCCCACGCATTCACTCCATAAGACGCACAGACCTTTCCCTTTACTTTTTAGGAAGAAAAAAGTGCATCTTATGGAGCGAAAAGTACGTTAGTCACAAAATGGCCACTGCAGGAGCAGGCATGCACAAAATGGCTGCCTTTGGTGATGTGTTCAGTTACTTCCATTGCAATGAAACACCCATCTCACTAAAAGGTGAAGTGGGGAGGCTGTGAAGGAAATAAATCAGGTGCTAGAAAATACCTGCCCATGAGCCATAAGCTGAATTTATGGAGGAAGTCATCCCACAGCCCCCTACTGTTGCTAACAGGTAGCACAAACACAGGAGCCATAGGAAGAAATATTTTTAAAGTTAATGATGTAGGGATTTTTTTTATTCATTGAGCCCCTAATCTAACTTCCTCTTGGTCAAGGATAGCATCATTTCTACTTCTATGGGGTCAAAGGATGTGCAGGTGATAAAAAGGAAGGAGCATAGAAGACTGGACAAGTCTAATGGGGGAACAAGTCAGGCTGAGTGCCTTTCCCTTTCAGGTGAAGTCATTCTTTGCATCATCATCATCATTTATTATTTATATACCACCCATCTGGCTGGGTTTCCCCAGCCACTCTGGGCAGCTCCCAACAGAATATTAAAAATACAATGAAACACCAAATATTAAAAACTTCCCTAAACAGGGCTGCCTTCAGATGTCTTCTAAACATCAGATAGTTGTTTATTTCCTTGACATCTGATGGGAGGGCATTCCACAGGGTGGGCGCCACTACCGAGAAGGCCCTCTTCTGCCTGGTTCCCTGTAACCTCACTTCTCGCAGCGAGGGAACCGCCAGAAGGCCCTCAGAACTGGACCTCAGTGTCCGGGCTGAACGATGGGGGTGGAGACACTCCTTCAGGTATAATGAGCCGAGGCCATTTAGGGCTTTAAAGGTCAGCACCAACACTTTGAATTGTGTCAGCACCAGAATTACTTATATTTGTACAGTGGTACCTTGGGTTAAGTACTTAATTCGTTCTGGAGGTCCGTACTTAATGTTGCGTTCGCAAAGTAAAGGAAGGATTGAACTCTGATTAATAAGAATACACACAGAGGCTTGAACCAGCAAGACTCTGGGAAGGGTGCATATAATCGTCTCTCTCTGTGCTTGTCCGTGTCTGCAGCCCCCTGGCCCAGGCCGTTTTTTATTCACAAAAGAACTTTTTACGATTGTTCGTAAGAACCAATCAGATTTCTTCTGAGCATTTCCACAAACCCACGTGGGGAGAAAGTTAAACCACTAAAACTAATTAAGCACAAATATTTCTGGGGTAAATAAGTTGAGAACTACAAAGAAGAGTATCTGGCAACCCAGGAGGTAATAAACAAGCAATACACATATGATAAGGAGGATGGCCAGGAGGACAGCGACCGTTATCACCTTAATGTGAGATCTGCTTCCTGGCCCTAAGATTAAGATCCTACATCAAATAAACTTGCCCACTGTCTTTGATGACCCAATACGCCTGCCTGTCTAAGTGTGTACGTGATTCGTGAAGAGCAGGGACAAATGGGCAGCAGAGGCAAAAGGGCATCAAAAGGGCATGAATGTAGAATCTTATGGGATTTAATCAGAAATTATTGTCAATATATCAAACCCAGTCAACACAATGTCTTCATCGTGGACACGATGGCTTGATGTATATTCTGTAATTCCTCATGGTAATCCCATCTGACCCCTACACTTAACCTGAAACTGTTCTTAACCTGAAGCACCACTTTAGCTAATGGGGCCTCCTGCTGCCATCGCGCCGCCGGAGCACGATTTCTGTTCTCATCCTGAAGCAAAGTTCTTAACCTGAAGCACTATTTCTGGGTTAGCAGAGTCTGTAATCTGAAGCGTATGTAACCCGAGGTACCACTGTATATCACCCTTCATCTGAAGATCACAGCATTGAGAAGCCAAGTGAGAGAATTCAGAAGACTGAACATTTCAAATTTGCTCTAACTTGGAAATTTTGCAATAAATCTTCATAGCACATACATTAAAGCAGGATAATGCATTCCATTAAGCTAAGGCAAGGATGGTCAACCTGTGGCAATTCAGATTTTCTTGGAACCTCAGAAGCACTGTGTGAGGTGCTTTGCAAGCAACCAAACAGCTGATTGTCATAGAATTGTAGAGTTGGAAGGGACCCTTAGGATCATCTAGTCCAACCCCCTGCAGTGCAGGAATAGGGAGCTGTCCCATACGGGGATCGAACCTCCAACCTTGCCATTATCAGCACCATGCTGTAACCAACTGAGCTATCCAGGCATCTTTTTCTTTCTGAAGGCAGGAGTTTGTAACTCAAAGCACTGGGACAAGTCTTGTAAATGCAAACAGAATCCTGTGAAGTGTGTGTATGGGGGATAAATGTTCTAGTTTTGGGTGCCCATAAGGTTTTCTTCATGAACTCTCCATTTTTAGGAGGGGGTCTGAGAAAAGGATGTAGTGAGCTGGCCAGATCCAGCCCCCACTCCTATACGAAATTGGACACGAACTAGTGGATATACAACAAGAAACAGAAATGGAATACTGACTCGGTTTGTGATCTTAGTGGAGAGACTTTAGGACAAGGACAGAAGAATTTAGTATTATTCCACATGGAGTAACGGTGGTAGGAATTAATAGAGGTAAAGTGAAACGTAACAATATGGATAACATTTATTAACAATAATAACTATTAGGGAAGCTATCTTGGACTTTTTTGGAAAAAGAAATGAATGATTCTGATACACCTTGACTTAAAAGATACATTGTTTAACAGAAAGTGGAAAAGATGTATGTATGCATGAACTGAAGGCTTTAAATAATCAGATTTTCCTTTTTTATGTAACTGACAGATGGAAGATTGGAAGTTCTTCTTTCTTATCTTTTGTTAATGTTTCTTTTCCTCTTCCTCTTCCCTCTTTTTCCTCTCTTTATTTCTATTGTATTGTATTCGTCCCCTTTTCTGTTTCTATGCTTTGTCTCTTCTTCTTTTGTAGTTGTAATCTTATTGTGTTATGAGAAAATAATACTAATAGTAAAAGAAAAAGGAAAAGGGAAAAAAAAGAAATCCAGCCCCATCCTGCTCTTGTCGGCTACAGTGTGAATTCTCTATCATTTTCTTCTTGTAAGTGGCATCCAGAGCACTGTGTCAGGAGCTTTTAATGTAGATATATGCCCTTACAGTTGCATCTAGAAACAACATACATCTTTTAAATATGACATGCCTGATAAGTGTAGGTGTCGAGCTACTCTGCTCTGCTAGCAGTGCCTCCAAGTCTGGAGCCACAAACTCGACAGTCTCAGGATTTTTCATCAGTGACTTCAAGTTACCTGCGAGGATCCCTATTGCTTTCCAATAATAATTGCTTTCGTGTGGCTCACTGGCAAATAAAGTTTCTTTTAAATATTTCAAAAACGTGCTATATACGAAAAGCCCACGTGAAAGGACCCCCAGGCATGTTTCCTTTTCGAAGTCAGGAGGGAAGCATTTCGCTTGGCGAGTCATTTCTGGTAGACCGAGAGGAATTTCCTCCCAACCCATCTGACATGTGTCTAGCTTCTGACATATTTCTTCATTCAGACTGCTAATCCTTCCCTTGAGCCAAAAAGCCAAGTTCATGGCTTGGGGTATTTCACCTAATTCTTTCGGAAAGGCACTATAAACAGGCCAAACTCCTGCAGTGATGAACAATGCGGCAACAGTGTAAAGGTGGAATCCAAAAAGGACATTCATTGCCTTCCTGTCTGGCTTTCCTCTTCTTCTATATACACTTAGTATCTTGAGGTGATGATTGGCTGGAAATGGGAACTCCTTACGTGGGAAGGATTTCTGTATATACTCCTCAATGGCACCTGACACAAACAACATGGATGAAAATACAGCAGTGAATAAAGACTTACTAGCAGTACATGTGAAAAAGATCTAGGGGTCTTAGTAGACCACAAGCTTAACAGGCGTCAACAGTGTGATGCAGCAGCAAAAAAGGCCAGTGCTATTGTAGGCAGCATCAACAGAAGTCTAGTGTGTCCAGATCAAGGAAAGTAATAGTACAGTGGTACCTCGGGTTACATACACTTCAGGTTACATATGCTTCAGGTTACACACTCAGCTAACCTAGAAGTAGTGCTTCAGGTTTAGAACTTTGCTTCAGGATAAGAACAGAAATCGTGCTCTGGCGGCGCAGCAGCAGCAGGAGGCCCCATTAGCTAAAGTGGTGCTTCAGGTTAAGAACGGTTTCAGGTTAAGAACAGACCTCCAGAATGAATTAAGTACTTAACCTGAGGTACCACTGTACTACTCTATTCTGCCTTGGTCAGACCACACCTGGAATATTCTGTCCAATTCTGAGCACCACAATTTAAGTTAAGATTCCTGTGTTGCAAGATTGCTACATTGGCTCCCAGTACATTTCCAAATACAATTCAAAGTATTGGTGCTGACATTTAAAGCCCTAAACGGCCTCTGCCCAGTATACCTGAAGGAGCATCTCCACCCCCATCGTTCTGCCCAGACACTGAAGCCCAGCACCAAGGGGCTTCCGGCGGTTCCCTTGCTCGCTGCAAGAAGTGAGGTTACAGGGAATCAGGCAGAGGGCTATCTCGGTGGTGGCGCCTGCCCTGTGGAACGCCCTCCCATCAGATGTCAAAGAAACAAACAACTATCTGATGTTTAGAAGAAATCTGAAGGTAGCCCTGTTTAGAGAAGCTTTTAATATTTGATGAATTATTGTATTTTAATATTTTGCTGAAAGCCGCCCAGAGTGGTTGGGTAAACCGAGCCAGATGGGTGGGGTATAAATAATTTATTATTATTATTATTATTATTATTATTATTATTATTATTAGGCAAAATGACCCCCAGTGTCCCTTCCAATACAAAACATCACCACCAGCAACAACCTCTTTTTATTTGTTTCCTCCACCCCATCCCATGCATGGATCATTCCCCTTCTACCAGTTCCCCTGTTGGAGCGCATACTCACAATCCCAAAGAGAAAGATGTCTCAACTGGTTGTCATAGGTGTCTATAGCTGTTCATCAAGAGGAATTTGGAAGGCTCTGTTGGGTTTCCTTTTTATATCCTCCATCACTCATTTTATTGCACACCCACCTCTTTTCTTTTAACTAAGTCCAACTATAATCATTTCAGGAACATTCTATTCCTATACCCTTTTGACTTTTCCCTTGAGAATCATCATAAATGTTTATACAAGCTACCTACCACAGACCTGATAAATCATGATGTATAAATAGGAACCCTGATATTCCATGTTTACTTAAATTATGTGTCATTAACTTTGATCAGTGACTATTTCTGTTTCTAACAGATCAGAGCTAAGGGCACAAGGGCCAACATATGTTCCTTCTGATGTTCTTTGTGGCCCATGTTTTGGAGGCCTTTGCAGAACTTACTTTAATTATCAGATTGCCTACTCCAGTTCCAAACATTTGATTCCTCACTTCCCACTTTCCCTGGCACAACTTCTATTGGCCCTGTATACCTGAAGGAGCGTCTCCACCCCCATCGTTCAGCCTGGACACTGAGGTCCAGCACCGAGGGCCTTCTGGCAGTTCCCTCCCTGTGAGAAGCGAAGTTACAGGGAACCAGGCAGAGGGCCTTCTCGATGGTGGCGCCCACCCTGTGAAATGCCCTCCCATCAGATGTCAAGGAAATAAACAACTATCTGACTTTTAGAAGACATCTGAAGGCAGCCCTGATTAGGGAAGTTTTTTATGCTTGATGTTTTATTGTGCTTTTAATATTCTGTTGGGAGCCTTCCAGAGTGGCTGGGGAAACCCAGTCAGATGGGTGGGGTATAAATATAAATCTGCAGGCTCTCTATTGGCAGTGTGTTCCACAACACTGGAGTGCATACCCTCCAACCTTTCTTTGATGAAAGAGGGACATGTCTCTGATAAAAATAGGGATATCCTATTCCATACCCATCAACATTCCTCTGATGAAAATAGGGACACCCTAAGGAAAAGCAGGACATTCTGGGATCAAATCAGAAACCAGAACGGCTCCTGTAAATTCAGGACTGTCACTGGGAAATAGGGACACGTGGAGGGTCTGGTGGTGATGACAGCAACTTGGAGAAGGAGTAATGACCCTGCTGACGATGGCCTCAGTGATTGGATCAACATTATTCAAGGCTTTGTAAATTAATTCAAGGACCTTTGACTTGGTAGTAGATGGGAAGCCAGTGCAGATGTTTTAACAATGGTACCCTATGTTCTTGGCTAGATGCCTCCATTAGCAGTCTGGCACTGATGGAGTTTCCAAGCCAGGCCCAAGGACAGCTCCACATAGACCACATGGCGGTACTACAGTTTTGATGTGACCAGTACATGGAATACAGTGGTCAGGCTGTCCCTGTCCAGTAATGTCAGGCTTCGGGGAATCAGATCCCTCCCATGGTGGCAGTCAAGAAACAGAGAAACAGTAACAAGCAATTTATTCAATAATTCACAGAGAGCGATGAAGGAATACAGTCTTCCCTAAATAAGGGCATTGCTCCAAGTATAGTCCCACCCCCTATGTCTCAAGAAACGAAAATAAAAATCTGTATGTTTTAACTTTATTCCCTTCTTTGAGGTTCTTATTGTTAAGGATATGTGATTCTTGTGACCAATTTGACACCACAACGATGAAACTTACAAAGCAGGAATGTGCTGTAATGTGTGCCATTTAAACTTCTTTTTGTGACCATTGTATCTTCTTCCCTGAAAATTACTAACAGGTTACTAAAATCCTTGTGCTTCACAGGTCTAACATTTCTGCTTCTGCACATCGTATAATGATCACTGCAGATGGTGACAGCAGTCATGAAATTAAAAGACGCCTGCTCCTTGGGAGAAAAGCGATGACAAACCTAGACAGCATCTTTAAAATCAGAGACATCACCTTGCCAACAAAGGTCCGTATAGTTAAAGCCATCGTTTTCCCAGTAGTGATGTATGGATGTGAAAGCTAGTTCATAAAGAAGGCTGATCGCCGAAGAATTGATGCTTTTGAATTATGGTGCTGGAGGAGACTCTTGAGAGCCCCATGGACTGCAAGAAGATCAAACCTATTCATTCTTAAGGAAATCAGCCCTGAGTGCTCACTGGAAGGACAGATCGTGAAGCTGAGGCTCCAGTACTTTGGCCACCTCATGAGAAGAGAAGACTCCCTGGAAAAGACCCTGATGTTGGGAAAGATGGAGGGCACAAGGAGAAGGGGACGACAGAGGACGAGATGGTTGGACAGAGCTCTCGAAGCCACTAACATGAGTTTGACCAAACTGCGGGAGGCAGTGGAAGACAGGAGTGCCTGGCGTGCTCTGGTCCATGGGGTCACGAAGAGTCAGACATGACTAAATGACTAAACAACACATCGTATAATAAAAAGCCTTGAAGCTGGTAAAAGTATTAAACATGATTATCATGGCTTGACCTGGGGGGAAAAGCATTGGATTGGATTGGAAAGGCAGCAAGCTAATGAACAAGCAGGCAGTGGCTGCTACCAATACTTTTTGTCTATTGCTTCACCATTGTCAGGGCCAGAATGAAAGGCAACAAACTAGTAGGTTGCAATGGTGAAAGAGGACTAGAAGGTCTGGGGGTTCTGGTCAGTGTGTGGCATGGCTGTGAGCCCTCAGCAGATTATTATTTTATTATTATTTACTCAATTTATAAACCACCCAGGGTGGTTCACAAACAAGGCCACCACATATAAAATCAAACCACAAACAATAACCTAATTAAAAAGAACCCCAAAGGAACCACATTCTAAAAGGGTGTTGGATGTCAGTAAGCCATGCTGATCCTTGATGCTGCCCTGATCTTCAGGTACAGACTGGCTCTTCTACTGGAAACGAGAACTGAGCATCTCAGGAAGCTCTGGCCTTTTTACACCTGCTCTAGAAGGATGGAGCCTGAGGCTGCTGAGGTGTTGCTGGGGAGGGAGTTGAGCCAGCATGGTGTAGTGGTTAAGAGCGGTAGACTCGTAATCTGGTGAACTGGGTTCGCGTTTTCAAAGGTGACGTTTTCCCTCTATACATGAGAAACACTAAAGGGATGAAGCAGGGGCAAATAATAGAGTGGGAGGGGGTGAGAATTTGATCCCAAGAATTCCCTACCCTTGTTTCAAGGGTCACTGAGAGCCAATGTGGTGTAGTGGTTAAGAGCGATAGACTTGTAATCTGGTGAACCGGGTTCGCGTCTCTGCTCCTCCACATGCAGCTGCTGGGTGAACTTGGGCCAGTCACACTTCTTTGAAGTCTCTCAGCCTCACTCACCTCACTGAGTGTTTGTTGTGGGGGAGGAAGGGAAAGGAGAATGTTAGCCACTTTGAGGCTCCTTAGGGTAGTGATAAAGCGGGATATCAAATCCAAACTCCTCCTCCTCTTCTTCTTTTTCTTCTTGCTGCTGGGTTTTTGTTTTTTGTTTTTGTATCATTTGCTGTGATTTACGTGGAAATTGTTCAGTTTGGTTTTGTATTTTTGTATTTACTATTGATGGCTGATTTTGTTATGTTGTAGCTATGTATTGTTTTCATGATGTAAGCCGCCTTGAGCATGGCTTGAACTGTGGAAAGGCAGCATACACATAAAATTATGTACGTGTGTAATATCAGGAGAGCAATCTGAGGCCCAAGAAACTGGCACGAAGCAAGCAAGTGTAAATTAAGCTGGAGTAAGTTGCACCAGATCCAAATTAGGTTCAGCAGTGGGGCTGCTTCGCAGAGGGAAAACAAGGCTTTAAAATAGTTTTCTATGGCGGGTCTTTAGGTCACATGACTGAGCTGATGGGTATAAGATTCAGCCTAAGTCCCCCTCTCTAGTTCTGTCCCCTCCGCTTAACAAAGGAATAGTTTGATGTAAACTGGTGTTCAAATAGTATTAGCAACAACACAAAATATTATGTAAAGAAGCTTACAAATGTTGCACTGGTCACCACAGAATCACCCACATGCCTATTTTTGAAACTGACTTTATTTTATATTTTGAAATCTTGTCTTTAGCATCTCTTTTCATTGGTTTATTTAATGTATATTTTATGTAACCTGCTTAGAGGTTCTGATGACTGAGTGGAATATAAATCCTGTAGCCAGTAAATAATATGTAGTTTGCATTCATAGCTCAAGCATAGCAAGTTTACTATATTTTGTTGCTTGCCCATGCAGACACATTCTGTTGTTCAGAGCGACTGTGGTGAAATAACTGAGACAGGCACTAGAGTTGGGAGAAATCAGGTCAGATCTTTATTGACTACAGGAGGAAAGCAGGTTTGGCATGGCAGCAGAACGCAGATCCAGTTCTTCATTCCAACAGCCCTTGCTGTTGCAATGGCACTCCATTGTTGGTGGTAAGGGCCGAACCCCTTCCAGTGGAGACGACCTGTGTTGAGCCCTGGAATTGGGCCTCATTGGACATCCAGGGTGGGAGATTTGAGTTGGGCAGAGGCCCTAACCCAAGCTTAGAGTGTGCCGTAACCAATACTCCACCCCCAACCTCTCATGGGGTTTCCTTTCTGTGCTGATCCTGCAGGAACATACAAAATTCCAAGACTGACTAACATAAATAAGCCATATGCTACTGAGGGGAAGGCTGGGAAAGCCCCCAACCCAGGAGCCAATTAAGGTTGGAAGGGGGGTGGGAAATAATTTTTGGCCCTGTCAGCCAGTGACTTCCCCAGTGAGGCTTAACACCAACAATGAGCATCTCACAAGGAGCAAATGGGTGAGGGATTTTAAGGTCTTGGCTCCTCCTATCTCCCTGCAATATCCCACGAGATAATTGTCATCCCATGAGATCCCACAAAATCTCACCAGGAGAGATGTGATTTCGTCTGCCCCCACTACCTGAGCCCTGCACCACTGGGCAAAGTCGACGTGTGTGCAGGTTGTGTCCAGATCAAGGCATTCTGAAGCTAACTTAGACTTCATAAAGGATAGTGCACATTCTACTCCTATGAGGTAAAAGAATATGCAGGTGACCAGTGGCAAAAAGGACTGGGCAAATCTAATGGGAGAAGAAATGAGGCTAAGTGCCTCTCTCTATGATTTCTGCTGTATTTGTGTCGTTCTATCATGTTTTATTATGTTATCATTATTTATTGTTTGTAAGCCACTTTGGGCAAAGAAATGCAATCAGTCAAGCAATCCTATAACTTTCACATGAAGTGATCGTTTGCATTTGGAAGGCAAGTGACATAATTTCAGAAGGTTAAACATTTAAAATCTTCCCTCACTTGCAAAATATATAATAAATCATCGTAGTAGTACAGAAGGTAAAGCAGAATAATGTTCTCCACTAAGACAGGGATGAACAACTTGTGGCACTCTAGGTGTTATCGGAGCCTAGGAAGAACTTCGCAAGCAACCAGTCAGCTGATTATCAGGGGGTTGGGAAGCGCTGCCAAAAGGGCAGTGAAAGCTTTCTCTGGAAAGAAAGAAAGAAAGAAAGAAAGAAAGAAAGAAAGAGCCCTTTTATTTGTTTTTTTTAAAGCACGTGTATTTCTTTCTTTCTTTCTTTCTTTCTTTCATTCTTTCTTTCTTTCTTTCATTCTTTCTTTCTTTCGTGGTGTAGAGGTTAAGAGCGGTAGACTAGAAATCTGGTGAACTGGGTTCGCGTCTCCGCTCCTCCACATGCAGCTGCTGGGTGACCCTGGGCTAGTCACACTTCTCTGAAGTCTCTCAGCCTCACTCACTTCACAGAGTGTTTGTTGAGGGGGAGGAAGGGAAAAGGAGATTGTGAGCTGCTTTGTGACTCCTTAGGGTAGTGATAAAGTAGGATATCAAATACAAACCCTTCCTTCCTTCCTTCCTTCCTTCCTTCCTTCCTTCCTTCCTTCTGATGGTAATTCATAACTCAAAACAACGGGGGAGGTGCTTTAGCTACAAACTATTTTATCTGAAGTGGGGGAAATCTAGTTTTAGGAGCTCTTTTGGATTTCTCCACAAACTCCTCACTTTTATGAGAATTATGCCTCTGCAGATACATCAGGGAGGCTGTCTCTAACTAACAATTTGATTGATGCTTAAGGGGAGCCTCATGGAAGTTGTGCTTCCAAAACCTGTCAGTGTTGGCTCGCTGACCAAAGTTAAGGATGTGGGCTACATTGTGGATTCTAAATCATTTTACTTGGTGAATTCTGGGTCATTTTCTCCATCCAAATAGTTGATTTCTCATAAGCGGCTGTCGGTGCACATGATTAATCTTTATCCATAAACTCTAGTTTCTTTTAACGTAGAAATACGCTCTTGCAGTTGCATCCATGAATTCAATATACTTTCTCAGTACCAGGTGCCTGAGAATGGAGGGCGTCCAACCAGTGTGAGCTGCTTTCACTGCCTCAACAGATTTTGCAACATTTACATCTGGGAAGATCAAAGTGCTAGGATGATCCATCAACGACTTCGTGGTCTGGGCGAGCTTCTCCGTTTGTTGCCAAAAATAGGTATGTGGTTCGGTGGCATACAAATGTTGATGCAAATATTTCAGAAAGGTACTAAATACATAAAGTCCCCTGGAAAGGCGTCTCAGGCAGACTTCCCTTTTGAATTCAGGGGGGAAGCATTCTTCTATGTCATCAATGTCTGGAAGGTGGAGACTCATCCGAGGGAGATCCTCCCAGACGGTTTCACATGTGCCCAGCTCCTCACACACATCTTGGTTCAAACTGTTGGCTTTCAGTTTGAGCCAGATAGCCACAGGCTGGGGTTGTTCTGCTGTTGCAAAAGCAACAGGCCAAACCTCTGTGCAAATGAAAAGCATGGCTGCAGTGGCAGTGCAAAGCCTGAATCCAAGTAGAGCATTCATGGCCTTTTCTTCTTGCTTTTTTCTTCCGTATATCCCTCTTGAGAAGTGAAGACCTTGAGGCCTTGATCGGCTGGATGTGTCAATTCCTGGATGTGAGGCAGTGGTTTCAAGAGCACCTGATGCAAATTGCATGGATAAAAATAGAACAGCAGTGAATTCAAAAGCAAAACGAAACAGAATAAACGCAGAAACTGTAACAGTTCCAGCAGAGGTTAAGTACATTTCTCAGGGAAGTTCTTTTTCTGGCGACAGAAACACCAACGAAGTGGGTAGCATTCATTTATAAATAATTTCCTCGGTCATTAGAGCACGATCTAATGGGTCATGGGTTAGATCTCTTCTGATAGGACTAGATCTCTTCTGATTCTACAATTCTATGGTTCCCCCTCCCCCCAAGGTAACACTTGTGGAAGCAAAGCAATTCTTAACTAAACTCCCTGATGGTGAGTGGCACAGCCTTTAACAACAGAGAAAGAAAGGGACAAGAATTTCCAAACACTGTGTTTTCAGGGAATCCTTTAAATGCTGATTCACTGGCGGAATGAACAAATTGTGCCAGCTGGATCTCGCCATTACTTTATCCAAACTGTGTGCTTTACCTTGGAGAACTCAATCCTTGCCTGCTATTGTGTATTCAAGGAGAAATCTTTCAAGGAAGCTTCTCGTCTTCTGATTAGGGTTAATTTGTTAATTGTCAGGAAAGCTTTTGAGGAATCACACAGTTAGGAAGCCAATGTTGCTTCCCCCTAGCCCCAAAATGCAGGTTACCAGCTACGTATATTATTTTTCTTAAAGGTAAAGGTAAAGGGACCATTAGGTCCAGTCCATTAGGTCTTGACCATTAGGTCCAGTCGTGGCCGACTCTGGGGTTGCGGCGCTCATCTCATTTTACTGGCCGAGGGAGCCGGTGTACAGCTTCCGGGTCATGTGGCCAGCATGACTGAGCTGCTTCTGGCGAACCAGAGCAGCACACGAAAACGCCATTTACCTTCCCGCTGGAGCGGTACCTATTTATCTACTTGCACGTTGATGTACTTTCGAACTGCTAGGTTGGCAGGAGCAGGGACCAAACAACGGGAGCTCACCCCGTCGCAGGGATTCGAACCGCTGACCTTCCGATCGGCAAGTCCTAGGCTCTGTGGTTTAACCCACAGCGCCACCTGCGTCCCGAAGGCATTCTAACAGCAGTTAAATATATTAGTCAGGGATAATAAATAATATATTTTTCTGGCTCTTCAGGGAGTATGTAGCCATCATGACCATCGTCGAAGCTACTGTTAGATAAAGCAGCTGTCTCAGGTGGTGCATTCGGTGTGGGGAAGGCTCTGTCTCAGACAGCAGAATGATGATGATGGTTGTTATTTATTATTATTTATTATTTATACCCCGCCCATCTGGCCGGGCCTCCCAAGCCACTCTGAGCGGCTTCCAACAGGATATTAAAAACACAACAAAACATCACACATTAAGAACTTCCCTAAACAGGGCTGCCTTCAGATGTCTTCTAAAAGTCAGATTGCTGTTTGTTTCCTTGACATCTGGTGGAAGGGCGTTCCACAGGGTGGGCGCCACTACCGAGAAGGCCCTCTGCCATTCAGCTGCAAATCTCAGGGTGGTTTTGAGCCACCTCTAATTATAGTTAGTAGCCATTTATTGAATTATCTACCACTAGTATGTCTAATAATAATAATAATAATAATAATAATAATAATAATAATAATTTATTACTTATACCTCACCCATCTGGCTGGGCCTCCCCAGCCATTCTGGACAGCTTCCAACAGGATATTAAGAACACATAAAACAACAAACATTAAAAACTGCCTTCAGATGTCTTCTAAAAGTCAGATAGTTGTTTATTTCCTTGACATCTGGTGGGAGGGTGTTCCACAGGGCGGGCGCCACCACCAAGAAGGCCCACTGCTATCAATAAATCTTGCATGACAAACTTTCCTTCACACCTGGGACTTGGAGTTATTAGTTGCCTCAAAGCTAAGGTTGTGCCAAATGAATCCGCCAAGCCTAGCGAAATGGAACTCACATTGCTTCACAGACAAAAGCTTGCAGAAACTCATACAAGGTGCTAAGCCATAACCTTTAAAACACCAAGCTTTGACTGGTTTAGGATTAATTGGAAAGTATTGCTATTATTGACTGTATCTTTAATAGGTATAAAATGATACTCACTTCCAACTAATACCACCTGAGAGAGAGCATACTCACAATCTCAAAATGAAAGGTTTCTGATGGTCATAAAAGGTGTTTTCAGCTTTATCAAATAAGAATCTGGAAGTCTCTGCTGAGTTTTCTTTTTATATGCTTCTTCATTCATTCATTCATTCATTTATTTATACTGTTTCATCCCACACCCACCATTTTTCTTTTAACCGAATCCAACTTTAAACATTTCAGGAACATTTCAAGCCTTCTTGACTTGTTCCTTGACACACCTCATATATCTGACACCTGGCATCTCCAGCAAACGTTACAGACCTTGATGTAAAAATATTCCATCTTTACTTATCTTATCAGCGCTCTTTAATTTGGTTCAGCTTAATTTTTGCCCCCAGACCCACAAAGACGATTCATGAGGCAATGCATTGGTGAATAAGGTTTTATTTATTAATACACCAGATCTGCAAACCAAATCAACTGGATTCAGAAAGCACAAGCAGATGAGGGTATTCTCTGATTCTGGCAGGGAGGCATGTCTTCAGTGCCTAACTGAAGATACCCTGTGATACCCCAACCAAGGACTGGGGGGAAATTATTCCCTGCTTTCTAAATGAGGTTTGGCACCCATGCCCAACTCTCCAGTGTTCATCTAAATCAGCCTTTCTCAACCTGTGGGTCCTGAGATGCTGTTGAACTACAACTCCCATCACCCCTAGCTAGCAAGGCCAGAGCTCAGGGATGATGGGAGTTGTAGTCCAACAACATCTGGGGACCCACAGCCTGAGAACCGCAGATAAATGAACATGTGAGGCCAAACAACACACACCCCTCCCCAGATGCATCAGGCTGTCTTATGATTAACTACTTCACTTGCTTTGTTGCCTGCACAAAATATTGCTAGAGCAGCGGTTCTAAAAGGATATAGGGTGCTTTTGGATGTGGCAGGAGAAGAAGGCAAGTGTCATTTGAAGATTCAAGGACAACCAAAGAAACATTTAAACAATTGGGAATGGTTCCTTTTCTGATGTAGTTCCATCGTTTCATGCTTTCTGGATGCCCCATGATCATATTATAATGTAGTTGTGTTCTGTGTTATAAATCAAGCCCTGCTAGTTCTTTCTTTTTGTATTCCAATGTATTTCTTCTCAATGAAAATTCTGGTGTGTCATGAGCAAAGCGTGACCCTGAGAAAAAGTTTTGAGAAGCACTGTGCTAGAGGCTATGCATTCCAGTTAGTTTGCCCCATTCCACATAGGCACACAATTGTCCAAATTAAATTTATTTATATTGTTTATTCCATTTATATCACAACCTCATTCCCTTCATGTTCTGGCCTGAAGCTTTGTCTACAGATGATGTTTCCAAGGAAATATTTAGCGACCGACTTCAAGCCAAGACCTTGGTTCATTGCTTCAAATCAGTTTGGATTAAGAGCTGTGTGCAAAGGAAGGCACATGTGACGGTTGTTTGGATTTCAAGTGGTCTTACTGCTTTTCAGACATCTCCTGAAATTTTCCAAGAAACTTGCAATATTTGAAGAAATTGTGTCACAACTGCCTAAATATATATGGCGAACAACAGAGAACCTGGCAAATGGCCATTTTGTGACTATTTGTGTTTTTAACAGATCAAAGTTAAGGACACAAGGTTCACTGTCCTTCTTTTGTCCCTCATAGCCTAAACCCTGCAGGTCCTTGCAGAACCTACTTAAGTACCTCATCACCTACACCAGATTTCAACATTTGATTCCAGGTTTCCCACTTTCACCAGTGTGTCCTCTATTTTGGTCAGGCATAAAGTTCCATTTTTGGATGGTAGGTTGGGGAAGATGTTGTTCTTCTAAATATAGGCAGAAAGCTAGACTCTTCCCAATAAGCTTTAGTGTAATCTTTACACCCCATCTTTTCTCACTACAACAACCTAGTAATGTCAATGAAATGAAATCCATATTAATATGTGCCTATTTGCATGCCTCTGAAGACATGTTTGCTTGGATTGATGTGACTTCACTAAATGCCTATAACTAAATTTGGGACACGGGTGGCACTGTGGGTTAAATCAGTGCTTCTTTCTCAGGTGTCAAGGAAGCCAAAGCTTGCTCAGAAAGTCCAGTTGCTCTTCAGTAAAACATGTTAAAGGCAAAGATTCCTGCCCACTTTGGGACACTATATTCTTATAAATGATGAATGTTTCTTTAATCAATGATTAGATTGTGGTATTCAGTAGATGTCTCTTTACCCTGTTCCCAAATTTTGCAAATGCCTGCACATCTGAGAACAGAGCACACAACAGAGAGACGAGTAAAAAAATAAGTACTCCAAAAACATATATTCAACTTCCTTTATATCCAGAATTAATAGAAGCAGTAACGGTAAAGGTAAAGGGACCCCTGACCATGAGGTCCAGTCGTGACCAACTCTGGGGTTGCGGCACTCATCTCACTTCCGGGTCATGTGGCCAGCATGACTAAGCCGCCGCTTCTGGCAAACCAGAAAAGCTGTTTACCTTCCCGCCGGAGCAGTACCTATTTATCTACTTGCACTTTGACATGCTTTCGAACTGCTAGGTTGGCAGGAGCAGGGACTGAGCAACGGGAGCTCACCCCATCATGGGATTCGAACTGCCGACCTTCTGATCGGGAAGTCCTAGGCTCTGCGGTTTAACCCACAGCGCCACCATAGAAGCAGTACCTCAATGTAATTAAGTGAAGTTTCTTTCTAGTCTATATTAATTCACCACTTGGCTTGGGATCACTAGACAGAGTCTTAAGAGCACCGTATTTGCAGGTAGTGACTGAGATAGGTAACTAATCACTAGTCATTTATAACTAGTCACTTAGATAAAAGCGAGAGATTAGATCGTAATTTTACTTGGTCTTGATCAAGAGCCAATAAGTCACTTATTGCATCATTCTGAGGATTGGCACCAGTTCCTAGGCGTTGATGTACTTTTGGCCCCCTTGTTTTTAGAGGGATGGGGCTCCCTCAGTATTCAGAGGGCATTCAACTCTGCCCCCTGGCTCTTTACAACATCGCACGCATGACATCAGGACGTCGTGTTGGGCCCCTTCAATCATCTTGAGAAGCTGACCCCCCCGGGTGGTAGAGAGGGAAAACCAATGAAATGTATAGTCTTCCTTATCCATTCTGAGATGGCTTAGATTTTTTTTTATTGTACTAACTGCAGCTTCTGGGGCAAGCATGGGAGGAAGCCCCACATAGAGTGCATTGCATTATTCTAGTCTTGAAGTAACCAACATGTGAGCTACTGTGGCAAGGCTTTCCCGATCCAGGAAAGGTCATAGCTGTCGAACCAGCCACAGTTGATATAAGGTGCTTGTCAGCACTCCACCGGCCTCAAACTTTGTCAAAAACATTTTAAATTTCTAGGAGTTATCCTTTGAAGGAGCCTCCAGAATTTTGAAAATTTTAGCTTTTGTTGGTGATCCAAAAACTAAAAACCTGGAGTACAGGATCACTGCCTTGGTTGGGCCAAATTGCAACTATAAAAATGATGGTACTGCCGTACCTCCTATATTTCTAGAGGTTTATCAATAGCTACAGAAGATAGAAAACAACAAAACTGGTAAAACATTATTTGAAAAATTATACATCCCAATAACAGTTCAAGATTACAATATAAAAACATTATATTAACTTCTTCTTTGGCGATCACTCATAGCCAAGTAAGAGTGTCTTCCATAAACACAGTATTAACAATGAGTCCGTAAGTGACTGTGGAGGCCAATTCTGGATCCACACATCCTTCCACAGTGGGGATATAGGTTTCCGGGTGGGAATTGATCACAGTGAGGGTTAGCCAAGCGTGCCTTCCTCTTAACAAGTTTCTCCCTTGTGTCCTGAGTTTGACTATCTTCAAAGCCCATGACACCTTTGGTAAAGGTTGTCCTCCAACTGGAGTGCTCACAGGCCAGTGTTTCCCAATTGTTGGTGTTTATACCACATTGTTTTAGATTTGCCTTGAGATGGTCTTTAAACATCTTTTGTTGACCACCAGCATTACACTTTCCATTTTTAAGTTTGGAATAGAGTAGTTGCTTTGGAAGATGATAATCGGGCATCCGGACAACATGACTGGTCCAATGAAGTTGACGTTGAAGAATCATTGCTTCAACCCTGGTGATCTTTGCTTCTTCCAAGTGATGTGTAAAAAATTTTGGAGACACCGTTGATGGAATCTTTCGAGGAGTTGGAGATGGCATTTATAAGTGGTCCATGTTTCACAAGCACACAGTAAGGTTGGTAGTACATAAGAGGCAGTGTGGCTGTATTTAGCATCATGTGGAAGCATGCAGCAATCCACCTCCATAGGATGCCACTGTTAATTCAAGGATCACAAACAATAGCTTGGTCAAATCCAAATCAGTAGAATTCACTAAGAGAGGTCCTGTTGAGAGTTTAATAATAACAACAAACAATTCGTGAGACAGATAACCCTTCTCCTGTAACACCATTAGTATGTCATCCTATTTTCTATAGTACAGATAGAGTGTTCCCTTTTGAAAAATGGGAAAAGGTGGACCAATAGGGCTTAAATACATTTACAAAGGAGGCACTCCTTTGTCTGGAACATCTATACAACAAGTGGTTCAAAATGTCTACAACTGCATGTTAATCCATCAAGTCATTTCCATAGCATGGAATTCTGCAGACAAGGGACAAAGTCATTAACCATGTTTGAAAATTGTTTTCTTTGAAAATGCTTTATACTATATATGTCAGACCCTAGAGGAAAAGTCTTAACTTATTTACCATATTTTTCGCTCCATAAGACACACCTTTTTCCTCCTAAAAAGTAAGGGGAAATGTCTGTGCGTCTTATGGAGCGAATGTGTGGTCCCTGGAGCCGAATTGCCCGGGGGCGAAAAGCAGATCATGCTGTTGTTGTTTTTAGAAAGTGGGTGTTGAAACAAAGCCGCTGATCGGCAAGGATTGGGAGGGAGATAAGGCTGCTGGTAAAGGAGGCTGCCAGGGGACTGGGGGAGGTAAAGACAGCGAACTTGCAAGGAGAGGAGACAGGAATACTTAAACAAGCAATGAAGAGAGAAATTAGAAGAAAAGAAGGAGTAAAAAACTGCTCCAGTTAAGGAAAACACTAAGGCAAACAAGAGGGAAGGGGGTGTTGAAAGGAAACAGCTGAGCAGCTGATCGGCAAGCGATCGGGAGGGAGATAAGGGAGGCTAGCGATAAAGGAGGCTGCCTGGGAGGGGCGAGGTAAAAGCCCATGGATCCTCAGGATTTTTGCATTGGGTCACCCCAAATTCACCATCAGATCGCATAGCATGTCCATGGCTACAGCCTGCACCCAAAACATCATGCATCCACTGTTTCGTGGGGCCTCAATGGCGCAAAAACGTGGTTACAAAGGACGGATCCATATGGATCCTCAGAATTTTTGCAATGGGCTACCCCAAACTCGCCGTCAAATCACATATCATGTCTGTGCCACAGCATGACCCACAAAAATCATACACCCACTGTTTCATTCAGAATTTTTTTTTTCTTGTTTTCCTCCTCTAAAAACTAGGTGCGTCTTCTTGTCAGGTACGTCTTATGGAGCGAAAAATACGGTAATTTATAAAGTGTTGCTAATCTTTCAATGGCAAAATTATCCAAGTGGAAAACAAGACAGGAAAGAGACTTGGGACAAGAGATTGATGATACTTTATTGGAAACAATGTGGCCAAAAAAATTCACTTTTGAACTATTTCTGTTCGTGTATGAGAAAACACCTTAAAGCTAACCCACAGATGGTACCTGCACAACACATTGGTAAATAAAATGGAAAAAATGACCTCTCCACAATGTTGGAGAAACTGTGAGAATGATGGAACATTTATACACATGTAGTAGGAATGCCCACTGATTGATCCTTTCTCATTGCAGATATTTCAGGAAATAGAGCACATTACATCTTAGTTGACTACTTTAGATCCCAAAATGGCACTAATTTCAGTATTTGAGGATGAAATACTCAAATAATATCTATTATTAGGGTCAGAGACTTAATTTTGCATCTTAAAACTTGCATTGTTATGCGAACTAATATCCAGATTGCTATGTTTATTCTTGGGACTTAAAATTGATGGAAAGGTTGTCAATGTAAGAATCTATAAAGCTTTTATAAAACATGGTTCAATTTCATTTCATCTCCAACGAAGAATGAACATGCTTATAAACCATCCAAGACACACGTGAACCCATGGAATGGCACTTTTTAGATTGGCGGCTATTGAATTTATGTTTTTTTTATGATTACTAATACAACAGGACCTAGCTGGAGTTGTTATGGGGGGACAGGGGAAAACTGCAATTTGTTGTATGTTTGTTCAAAAGTAATAAAAAAATTTTTTTAATTTTTTTTTGGAAAATGCTTTCCTAACAAGAGGAAATTGGGTTTAAACCGAACCCAATTAATGAGAGGTGATAATTTAAATAAAGTTGAAAGATGGTTTCTACGATCTGGTACATTGGTGGGAGATTGAGGCTATCAAGTAAGTGAGGTGTGACAAGGAACAGCCAGGCAAGGAACAACCCACAGGAGTGGAATGTTCCTGATAATATTTAAGTTGGATTCAGTTAAAAGAAAAATGGAGGGGTGGGTGTAGGATGAAATACTACAATTAAATGCACGAAGTAGCCTATTAAAAGGAAATCTAACAGAAGCTTCCAGAATCTTTTTTGATAAAGCTGAAAACACCTTTTGTGACCAGCAGAGACATCTTTTCCTTTCATTTTGGGATTGTGAGTACGCTCTCTCATTAGATGGAAGCGAATATCCTGTTCCCTTGAAGCGGGAAATAGAATCAGCAGAATGCACCTTTCAGAAGTGCTTTTGTTCAGTCAGAACACAGAACAGGGAAAGGGGATTCAACTTATGCTAGAGGGAATAATTGTTCTTATTGTTTAGTCGTTTAGTCGTGTCCGACTCTTCATGACCCCATGGACCAGAGCACACCAGCCCCAAGTCCCAGGTGCGCAGGAGAATTTGTCATAAAAGATTTAGTGATAGCAATGGACAGGAATGGATTTAGAAAAAGATTAGACTTACTCATGGTGAATAAGTCAATAAATGATTAGAGGTGGCCCAAGGCATCGTACTGCCTGAGACAAGCTAAACAGTGCCCCTCTCAAATATGTTACCTGAGGCAGTTGCTTTATTTTATCTAATACAGTGGTACCTCGGGTTACAGATGCTTCAGGTTACAGACGCTTCAGGTTACAGACTCCGCTAACCCAGAAATAGGACCTCGGGTTAAGAACTTTGCTTCAGGATGAGAACAGAAATCGTGTGGTGGTAGAGGGAGGCCCCATTACCTGGAGTGGTACCTCAGGTTAAGAACAGTTTCAGGTTAAGAATGGACCTCCAGAATGAATTAAGTTCTTAACCCGAGGTACCACTGTAGTAGCTCCAACAATGGCCATGGTGGCTGCATATGCCCTCCAGAGACATAAAAACACCTTATTTATTCTCCTGCTTTTAGTTGTCATTTCTGTTCTGCTCTACATTCACTGTTGTATTTTTATCCATGCTGTTTTTGTCAGGTGCCCTCGTAGGGTGAATACTGAAATCCTTGCCTCATAAGAAATTGCTACATCCACTCAGCCAGCACCGTTAGGCACAAAGCTACAAGCGAGAGATAAAGGGAAGAATAAAGCCGGAAGAGAAGACAATGAATGTTCTTCTTTGCACTGCCACTGCTGCCATGCTTTTCATCATGGCTGGGGCTCAGACTGCTAGCATGCCTTTTGAGAAAGAGTTAGGTGCCACTCCCGAAGCCTTGCCTTTGGCTATCTGGCTAATAAAAAAGACTACCAAGTTGTATAAAACGCTGTGTAATCTGCGAGGCACATGTGATACCGATTGGAGTCATCTGCCTCAGGAACATTTGCTTATCCCAGAGATCCATAGCGAAAGTAAATGCTCCCCCTCTACATTTGAAAAGGAAGGATGCCTGGAACTCCTTGCAGAGGGACTTTTTTCATTTAGGATATTTTTGGAATACCTGCAGGAAACTTTATTTCCCAAGAAACCGGAGTTAACTCAGTACTTGTGGCCAGCAACAGAGTTTCTGGCCAATAACTTGAAGTCACAGCTGCAGAATCCTGAGTGCATGCAACCTATACCTGACGCCATTGACGATGATCTTGTTCATAAGATAGCAATGTATACTGGTTGGACACCTGCAATTCTCAGGCACACCATACTTAGAAGGTACCTGAAGTTTATGGATACAGCTGCAAGTGCAATTCGGTCTATAAACACATCACAGATAACAGTAAATGATGTGCATCAACTGGCATTTAGAAGAGGACAACCATTTGGACAAAAAAAAATGACCTTGAGTTTACCAGGAAAAAAATGTTTGAGAAGCCGCACTGCAGCCCACAGCTGACCACATCCTAATCTCCCCAGTGGGCCAAGATTGAGAGGTGGAAAGGAGTACAGGTCATCAGTTAGAACCCATTTAAAGTCTCTGCAGCCATAAAACACACCTAAAAGTGGATAATTTGTGGAGAAAACCTTGAAGATGCCTAGAATACTTGCTCAACTGAAGAGAAAGCAGCAGGTGTTTAAAGTGCTTTGAATGCAAACTTCAGTCACTGGAAAGAAAGAAAAACAGAGCCTCGCAGAGAAAACTGGCAAAACCACTTTTCCAGTGCTTCCTAATGGAAGCACTTGACTAACTTTAAGTTAGCTTCAGAACCAAACAAAATATAGAAATATTGTTATACTTGAGCTACAAATGGCAACTGCATGTTTATTTATTCTATGTCCCATTAAGTCATCAGAACCCCAAGCAGGTTACAGAAAACATCCATTGTGTACCAATAAAAGAGAAATTAAAAAGAAGTTTTCAAAATGTTAAAACCAGCAGTTTCGAAAACAAGAAAGCACAGCATATTGTTCTACCTGGAACAGGTGATATTTAGCTAAGAGACGAAACAGCAGTCATTCATTTATTATGGTAGGTCCTATGGCCTGCCCATGCTGATTTCTAAATTCAGAGAAACAACCAGCAAATAACTATTTCCCTCTTTTTTACAGTCTCAAGAGACAGGACTGATCCATTTTGTGATTCAAATCACTCTTGAAAAACTGGTATATATACTGCCTAGTTTCAAAAATCAGAGAAAAACTTATAAAAATAGGAAATTATCAATGCACAACATGAAGATTATAAAGAATTGCTTCTCCACAGAACCATGTCTCAAGATTTATGATGATTATGAATAACTTTTGTAGGTAAAAGAATAAGAGGGAGAGAAAAATAAGGTTAATTTGGATGAAGAGTGTCACAGGTATAGGCTTATATGATAAGATTGTTATAATGTCTCCTAGGATATTATTGCGAAGGGCAGGAATGGAATGTTATTGATAATAAAAACAAACATTCAAATAAATTTCTTTAAAATCAATATGATTTCTTGTTCTACTAATTCTCCCTTCCTTCCTTCCTTCCTTCCTTCCTTCCTTCCTTCCTTCCTTCCTTTGGTAATTGCTTTAAGGTTTAACTGTACACATTCTCAAACAATTAATCACCCAGATGCATGGATCATGTTAATCACTTACAAGCAAGATGAAAAAGCAGAATGTTAGAAACAAGAAACTACAGGTTTCATAAGGAAGAGCATGCATTAATAAGTGGAAAGTCTGCTGATTGCATATGGCAGAATTCCCTCTAACATTTAGAACCAGCAAGAATTTCGAGGACAAAAGAATGCCTGTTTTGTCACTGGGCAGAATGTTACAAGCAGATGGTACTCACATAACAAAGATGACTATGAACTGGCATTAATGGGTGCTTTCTGGGAGAAAGTATGGGATATGAATGTTAAAGCTAAGTATATTTACAAGATTCCAGCTTCTTGCCTGTAGTTAGTTCAAAAACGTCTTCTCCAACCCACCTTCCAAAAGTGCAGCTTCAAAAACGAAATTTTATGCTTGACCAAAAACAAAGGGCAGAGGAGGGAAAGTGGAAAGTGCTGAATAAAATGTAGGTTTTTGTAAGGGCCTCCAAAGTGTAGTCCATAAGGAACACACGAAGGTACATGGATCCTTTTGTCCATTATTCTGATTTGTAAAAAAACAAAAAACAAAACAGAAATAGCAATAAGATGGACACTGTAAGGGCAGGACTACTTAATTTATTTACTTGAATAAGCTTTTATTAAAACTTTTTTGTAATACAATACAATAAAATGAACTAATCTAGATAAAAACCAAAACGAAGAAAGAGAGAAAAGAAAATGCACCCAGGGGCTTTCCTTCCATCCCTTTACCACCTTCATGTTAATCCAAAACAGAGGCCAGCAATGGAAGAGAAAAGAAAATAGAAATAAGGAACAAGATAAAAAGAAGGAATGTAAGTAACGGGGGGAAAGAAAGAAAGAAAGAAAGAAAGAAAGAAAGAAAGAAGAAAGAAAGAAAGAAAGGTAAACAGGACTTCTGGTTTTCCACCTTTCATTTACATAAAAGAAATCATTCAAAACATTCATTCTAATAGGACATCTGAGTGTTCTATTTTCAACTGAGCAATTTCAGACCCAAACGTTTCAAGTTCACTTCTTTTCCTTTCCACACAAAAAAACCCAAAAGCAGTTCTCTAATTACTATTATCAACAATGGGGGACACCTGGCTTACTAGCAGTACATGTGAAAAGGATCTAGGGGTCTTGGTGGACCACAAGCTAAACATGAGTCAAAAGTGTGATGCAGCAGCAAAAAACCAAGATAATGCTATTCTAGGCTGTACCAGCAGAAGTATAGTGTCCAGATCACTGGGAAGGAGTAATACTGCTCTGTTATGCCTTAGTGAGACCACACTTGGCGTATTGTGTCCAGTTCAGGGCACCACAATTTAAGAAGGATCATAGAATCACAGAATTGCAGAGTTGGAAGGTAACCCTGAGGGTCATCTAGTCCAATCCCCTGCAATTCAGGAATCTCAACTAAAGCACCCAACCACTGCTTTAAAAATTCCAAGGAAGGAGAGTCCACAACCTCCTGAGGGAGATTGTTTCACTGTTGAACAGCTCTTGCTGTCAGAATGTTTTTCCATATGTTTTGTCGGAATCTCCTTTCTTGTAACTTGAAGCCATTGGTTCGAGTCCTACCCTCTAGAGCAGGAGAAAACAAGCTTGTTCCCTCTTCCATGTGACAGCCCTTAAGATTTTTGAAGATGGCTATCATATCTCTTCTCAATCTCCTCTTTTCTAGGCTAAACGTACCCATCTCATTCAAACATACCCAACTCCTTCCATACCCTTGATCATCTTGGTTGCCCTTCCTTGGTTGACCACTCTGAACATGTTCGAGCTTGTCAACATCCTTCTCAGGAGTGATGTATGGAAGTGAGAGCTGGACCATAAAGAAGGCTGATCACCGAAGAATTGATGCTTTTGAATTATGGTGCTGGAGAGTCCCATGGACTGCAAGAAGATCAAAGCTATCTATTCTTAAGGAAATCAGCCCTGAGTGCTCACTGGAAGTACAGATCCTGAAGCTGAGGCTCCAATACTTTGGCCACCTTATGAGAAGAGAAGACTCCCTGGAAAAGACTCTGATGCTGGGAACGATTGGGGGCACAAGGAGAAATGAGTGACAGAGGACAAGATGGTTGGACAGTATTCTCGAAGCCACTAACATGAATTTGACCAGACTGCGGGAGTCAGTGGAAGACAGGAGTGCCTGGCGTGCTCTGGTCCATGGGGTCACGAAGGGTCGGACATGACTAAAGGACTAAACAAAAACAAATTGTATTGTATTGATATAGCCTAGAATAGCATTGGCCTTTTCTGCTGTTGAGTCATGCTAAGCTTGTGGTCCACCAAGACCCCGAGATCCTTTTCACATCTACTGCTAGCAAGCCAGATGTCCCCCATCTTATATTTGTGCACCTGGTTCTCCCTGCCTAAGTGCAGAACCTTACATTGGTTCCTAGTGAAATTCATTTTTTTAGCTTGGATTTTTTACTTCTGCAATCTGATAACGGTCGTTTTGAATTCTGATTCCATCTCCCACAGCATTAGCTGCCCTTACCAGTAAGCTGATGACACACAACTCTAATTCTCCACAATACCTGAACCAGGAGGAGCTGTGAAGGCTCTGAATTTGTGTCTCAATGCAACAGACGACTACATGAGAGTGGGTAAACTGTACTTGAATACTGGGAAGATGGAGGCTATTTGGATGACTCCCTTATTCGGGAGATAGGCAAGTTCTCTGTTTGGGATAAGGTTGCACTCCTTCTGAAGTGTGTAGCTTGCAGGTACTCTTGGATATGTCTTTGTCGTTAGAAGTCATAGTGCCCTCTGTGGCTGGGATTTCCTGCTACCAGCAGGCGCCTTCTGTTTTTGAAAGCTGCACCACCTTGGGTGGGTGGATGGGGGACATCCGTCTGTTTGAAATATAGATAGAAAGCTGGTTGTGGTTGTGAGGGTAGAATTTGAACCGAACCCAATTAATGAGAGCTGATAATTTAAATAAAGTTGAAAGAGGATGGTTTCTGTGATCTGGTACATTGGTGGGAGATAGAGGCTATCAAAGAAGTGAGGTGTGTCAAGGAACAACAAGGCAAGGAACAACCCACAGGAGTGGAATGTTCCTGAAATTATTAAAGTTGGATTCAGTTAAAAGAAAAATGGAGGGGTGTGTGTAGGACGAAATAGTACAATTAAATGCACGTAGCATATAAAAAGGAAACCCAGGAGAAGCTTCCAGAATCTTATTTGATAAAGCTGAAAACACCTGTTGTGACCATCAGAGACATCTTTTCCTTTCTTTTTGGGATTGTGAGTATGCTATCTCAGGTTGGAAGCGAATATCCTTTCCCTTGAAGCGGGAAATAGAATCAGCAGAATGCTCCTTTCAGAAGTGCTTTTGTTCAGTTAGAACACAGAACAGGGAAAAGGGATTCAGCGTATGCTGGAGGGAATAATACTTCTCCTGAAGACACAGGTTCACGGTCTGGGCACGCTCCTGGCTGCAGCCCTGAACATGGCTGTCTAGGTTTCTGCAGTGGATAGGAGTGGATTTGCAGTTAAGGCTAGTGCACCAATTCCGCCTGTTCCTTGAGGTGAATGAGTTGCCCAAAGTGACACATGCCTTCGCTACATCCCGTTTGAATTATTGTAATGTGCTGTATGTGGTAATGCCTTAGGAAGGTGCTCAGAAACTTCAACTGGTTCAAAGACCTGCAGTCAGACCATTGACAGGGGCTGGTTATGGGGAGCACGGCACTTCATTACTAGAACAGCTTCACCGGCTAGCAATCTGTTTCCAGGCAAAAGGAGACTTGCTGTTTCAAACGTTATGGCTTAGCACCTTGTATAAGTTCGTGGAGGGTAATATCTGTGTAACAATGTGAGTTCGATTTCACTAGGCTCGGTAGATTCTTTTGATGTAACTTTGGCTTTGAGGCAACTACGAGTCCCAAGTCCCAGGTGCAGAGGAGAATTTGTCATAAAAGATTTAGTGATAGCAATGGTCAGGGATGGATTTAGAAAAAGATTAGACTTATTCATGGTGAATAAGTCAATAAATGATTAGAGGTGGCCCAAGGCATCGTACTGCCTGAGACAAGCTAAACAGTGCCCCTCTCAAATATGTTACCTGAGGCAGTTGCTTTATTTTATCTAATACAGTGGTACCTCGGGTTACAGATGCTTCAGGTTACAGACGCTTCAGGTTACAGACTCCGCTAACCCAGAAATAGGACCTCGGGTTAAGAACTTTGTTTCAGGATGAGAACAGAAATCGTGTGGTGGTAGAGGGAGGCCCCATTAGCTGGAGTGGTACCTCAGGTTAAGAACAGTTTCAGGTTAAGAATGGACCTCCAGAACGAATTAAGTTCTTAACCCGAGGTACCACTGTAGTAGCTCCAACAATGGCCATGATGGCTGCATATGCCCTCCAGTGACAGAAAAACACCTTATTTATTCTGCTGCTTTTAGTTGTCATTTCTGTTCTGCTCTACATTCACTGTTGTATTTTTATCCATGCTATTTTTGTCAGGTGCCCTCGTAGGGTGAATACTGAAATCCTTGCCTCATAAGGAATTGCTACATCCAGCCAGCCAGCGCCGTAAGACACAAAGCTACAAGCGAGAGATAAAGGGAAGAGTAAAGCCAGAAGACAAGACGATGAATGTTCTTCTTTGCACTGCCACTGCTGCCATCCTTTTCATCATGGCTGAGGCTCAGACTGCTAGCATGCCTTTTGAGAAAGAGTTAGGTGCCACTCCTGAAGCCTTGCCTTTGGCTACCTGGCTAATAAAAAAGACTACCAAGTTGTATAAAACGCTGTGTAATCTGCGAGGCACATGTGATACCGATTGGAGTCATCTGCCTCAGGAACATTTGCT